GGGGTGGTGGCCCCTGGCCTGCGGGTGCAGCAATCAGCAGGTCACTGATGTGGGCACACACAGCTGGCAGGCTGTCACTTGTAGAGTGGCCAGACTGAGAGGGTCCCGGATGTAGGGATTCTCACTTGGAAAGGGCAGGCCAAAGGAAGAGCCAGGTGGCAGCTTGCTTAGAGCCGAGAGAGAGCCGAGGGTGCTGGACGTGGGAGAACCTGGATGTCAGGGTAGAGACCCAGATGTCCAAGCCTCAGGAGACTCCAGACTGTATTTCTACCCAGGGCTTTATTGAGGTTGTCTCAGAAGGAGACAGAAACATAAGGTGCAATTGTACATGTGACTACTGTGGGTGTGTGACATCTTCAAGATCTCTGATTTGGGCCCCGAGGGGCTGGCCGGCAGGGCCTGTGCCACCCAGTAAGGCAGACGGTGAGGATGCGAGCCTGGCTCACTGCTCCTGGGTGCCCCAGGAGATGTAGTCGGGCCGCGTGGCCGCATGGTACTCGTCAATCAGCTGCTGCACGATCTCCCGGGATGTGTCCATCTCATCAAAGTTGTCCTTGAAGATGTCCTCCTTCCGGAACTGTTCCATGAAGGCCTCTCGCTTCCGAAGCTTGTCGAACTGGCGACAGGTGCGCTCAAAGAGCTGGGGCAAGCAGAGCCCAAGAGTCACAGGGACGTCAGGGTGGGGAGCACAGCCGGGGACCCACAGGGACCGAGACCCAGGCAGGCTCACCGAGGAGATGCTGGTGTGGTTGGCCATCATGAGCCCGCTGACCCGGTGGGCAGATGGCAGGTATGGCGACTTCCTGGACAGCGCCACCTGGATGCTGGCTGGGCCCCAGGGGATGAAGTTGGCCAACTTGCGCTCTCGGATCCTCTGCAGGCTCTTGTGCACCTGGCCGGGCACAGGGAAGGGGACGCTTGCGGCCTCCTCTCCCAGGCCCATGGCCAGGAGGGGCCCGGGCCGCGCCTACCTGCGTGGGGTCCACCTCGCCCTGGATGATGTTGAGGATGGCGATATAACAGTGGTTGGTCTGGCGGTCCCGGCCCGTGGACACCATCACGTTCTTGGGCTGCAGCAGCCGCCGCATGACATCCAGCACCGTGGTCTTCCTCACGCTGGCCACCTGAGGGGGAGTGGGGGTGCGGGGCTCCAGGTGGCACTGAGGCCCCAGCACAGGGTGGCTCCCTGGGTCCCCTCTGCCCCGGGTCTCTGCTATAGAACTCAGGCCCTCGCCCGCAGCTCAACAACCCCTGCCCTGGCACAGAGTGGGGCTGGAGACCCAGAAGCGGTGGCCACGCTCACCGACTGGTCCGTGGTGAGCGGGGTGTAGCCAGTCATGAGGAAGTGCAGCCTCGGTGTGGGGATGAGGGAAGCGATGAGGCCGATGAGGTCGTTGTTCATGTAGCCAGGGTAGCGCAGGGTGGTGGTGCTGGCTGACATGATGGTGGACACCTGGGGCGGGGCAGTATCACGGCTGGTCTGGGGGACCTACCTCCCAGCTGGCCGTAGTGTGGGGGTGCCCAGTGTGGGGGCTGAGTCAGCTCACCAGCTGGTTGATCTGGGAGAAGGACGGGTTCTGGATATGCAGGCGGTCTGTGGCAATCAGATTCAGGGCTGTGTTGTCCAGCACCACCTGGGGACAGAGGAGAAGAATGACAGGGACAAGAATATCCAGAGCTCTGCATGAGCCAGGCTCTATGAGCCCCAGGGCCAGTAAAAGGGATCTGCTCGGCCCAGTGACTTTGGGACCAAGGCCAGCCGAGCTCCATCCTCAGCCCTTTTTCTTTTTTTTGAGACGGTCTCAGTATGTAGCTCAGGCTGGCTTTGAACTCACTGTGTAGCCCAAACTGGGATAAGACGCATTATCTTTCTGCTTTGGCCTCCCAAGTGCTGCAGTTAGAGGCATGAGCCTCTGGGCCAGTTAAAACTGACTTTTTAAATGCCCACAAATGATAAAACAGGGTCTGGGCAGGGTCTGATAAAACAGGGAGGCAGTGGGGATGCAGTCCCTCACCACGCAGTCCGCGTTCTGTGTGAGCCGCTTGAGTGTGAGCAGGGAGTTGTAGGGCTGTACCACCACATCGCTCATTTCGTCTTGGTTGGGGAACACAGAGTACGTCTGCACCAGCTTCTTGGGGTACCTGGTAGGATCAGAAGAAAAAGAGGGGAACAGATTGAAGGCTGGGAGAACACAGGGCTCTCTAGTATTCTAGTGGGAGTCGCTAATGCTGGATGCAGAAATTGGAGCCCCAAGATTAGTCATAAAGGAAACTTCACTCCTGAAAGTCTACAATCCAGAAGAGGAAAGGGCGGAGATGTTGGGGAATTTGGGTTTCCAACTCCAAACCTGTCTACTCCGGCTGAGCTTCTTCAGCAGGGCCCAGATTCTAGGTTCTGGCTCCAAGCCCTGGAGTGTGATCAGTTTCCCCAGCTCACTTCACTGACCCCGTTCTAGGAAGGTAGGGTCACTGGGGCCATCTCATCCCAGCCCCCACAGAGACTTACCTGTCATTCAGCCGCTCTAAGAGGTAGGAGCCCAGGCCAGAGCCTGTCCCCCCAGCGATGGAGTGACACAGCACAAAGCCCTGCATGGGAGGGGCATAGTCAGTGACATGGGCTCCAAAGTTTCAAACTGATCCATCACACAACTGCCATGACTTGTGTCTTGCTGAACCAGTCCCATCCCCTCATGGGTATAGATAAGGACACTGTGCTGTGTCTTCAGCAAGGCCAGGGGGCTCCTGTCCCCAGGTACAGGGTGGCTCATGTGCCTAAGAGGTGGCTTTAAAAGCAGTGCCAGGCTTTCTCCATGCCAGGCCTGACCAGCACAGCCCAACACGCACCTCCAGACTGTCACTCCCGTCTGCCTCCCGGTCAATGATGTCAAAGATGTCCTCATGGATCTTCTCTCCCTGCACAGATACAAGGTCAGTCAGAGTGGGACAGGATCATGGGACAAGTGCTCTGACCTAAGAACAACCTTAGTGTGCCACTGCAGGCTGAGCCCATGGGCATTACACTAAGCCATGCCCTAGGTCCTTTAATTTGTGTTTCTTCCTCTCATTCTGAAACAGGGTCTGTCATTAAGTTGCCCAAGCTCGCTTTCAACTTGCAGGCATCCTGCCTCGGCTTCTGAGTGTTGGGATTACAGGAGTGCACCAATACACCTGGCTGAAAAGCTCTTCTATGGTACAGAGCTGCCTGGACTTTTAGAGGCCTTAAGAAGCAGCATGGGAAGATGGTTACCAGTTGGCACTGTACACCCAGATGGCCGGGGCTCATACATCAGCGTTAGTTCTGTGCAATTCACTGGCTCAGGTAGATTACTTAATCTTTCTGCAACCAAATTTCCTCCTCTGTAAGATGACACAGGCCTACAATCCCTCAGGGGAAATTCTTGGGGCCAGTTATATGTTGGAACTCAAAATATTTCAGGTTTTAGAAAGGTAGTTTGGTACATACAATGTACATGCAGTAAAATCCTGAAGGGGTCTAGGGTGTATTCATCAAGCACATTAGCATTTTTGTTAGTTTGTTAAGTTGGACAGAAACTGTAAAATTGTCTCCACTGAAAGCTGGTTTTGTTGTTCAAGAAGTGATGGATTGGGGCTGGGGATTTAGCTCAGCCGCCTAAGTGCCTGCCTTGCAAGCAGGCAGTCATGAGTTCGATCCCTGGTACCGATAAAAACGAAAAAGACAAAAAAAAAAAAAGAAGTGATGGATTATGGAAAGGCAGATAAGACACTGTGGACCTCTGGGCCTTCCCACTAGGGCTGCTGAGAGGGTTAAAGAGTACACAGGACCCACTCACTGTTCTGGCACACAGCCCTCGAGCACACAAACATCCCAGATCTGGTTTTACCCTCCTTTAGGAAGTCACAGTGGGTTGTGGTCCTGGCCACAGGAACGAGCAAATGACCTGGGAGAATCCACTGGCCCAGTTGTTGCCAGCGCCACCGCCGTGCTCAGACAGATAGATGTTCTCGGGATTGTAGAGCTTGGCATAGGCAGAATTCTGAATGGAGTGGATGACGCGGGGTTCCAGGTCCAGCAGCACTGCACGCGGGATGTAGTGCTCGTCGTCTGCCTGTGGGGCCCGGGAAAGCCAATAGGCTGTCACTCAGAGTGGCCACGCTGCCACCCCGCGGTCCCCACTTCAGCCTGCGGCTCTGGCCTCTCTGCCGACCCTGCACCCGGTTGCGGCCGTCCCTGCCGGCCCTGGGCCCAGCAGGCCCTGGCCCAGGCCAGCACCTGGTAGAAGAAGACGTCCTTGCGATCAGTGCCCTCGGTGGCGAACTCTTCCACGATGCCCTCGGGGCTGATGCCATGCTCCGCACACAGCTGCTTCCAGAACTCGAAGCCGACTGTGGGAGGGGAGGTGCGGGTAGGAAGAAAGAGGATTCCTGGTATGGACAGGTTCCGGTGGGCACCTGGGAGCCTGAGCGCCTGGGTGTAGGCATATCAAACGTCAAAGCGTCGGGAGAAAGGGCGGTACCCGGTGACTGGACAAGACGGGCCCCGGGGGCTTGGACACTGGACACTGGGTCGGGGACTCCCGGCTTCTGGGGAATTACGATCCTGGAGGACAGATGGGAGTCCAGGCCCCCACAGTGCCATCCCGTTCAATCTAAGAGCAGTGGCTATCGGGGGGGTAGAGGTTTGCTCACTCTGATTGCCGCACTGGCCCAACTGTAGAGTGATGATTTCCCTCGGCATTGCTCCTCAGGAACTAGCTTTGCAGCCACACAAGCCAGCACGCTCGCCGCAAAACGCAGAAGCAAAACAACCCGCGGCTCCCGCGAACACTTTCTCTGCTCCAATAAGAACCAAGCACAGAAGATAGCACTTCCTTAATCCTGTGGCTTCATTTCTGCAGATTACGCGTGCGCATCACGACGTCCTTTGACGCAGCGTCTATCCTTTTCCTTTACGTGTGCACGCTAGACGCTCTGCGCATGCGCATCGCAGGGGAGGCGGGCTGCGGGCGCGGTACGTCTGCGCAGTTGGTGTTATTGTGACCGTCTCCCCGCGGCCCCGGATGTTGTGGCTGCCCGGGGAGATGGCGGAGGCTGAGGGGCTGGCTGCGGCCCCGGACCCTACTGTAGGGTCGGCGTTTAAGGGCCGTCGAGCCCTTTCGGGGTCCTGGGAGCGCGACCAGCAGGTGGAGGCGGTGCAGCAGGCCCTGGTGCAGGTGTTGGGGCCGTACGAGCCACTGCTGAGCCGGCTCCAGGCGGCCCTGGTGTGGGAGCGGCCGGCGCGGAGCGCGCTGTGGTGCCTGGGGCTGAACGCGGCTTTCTGGTGAGAGAACCGGACCTCAGAGCCCTACGGAGCGCGGGTCGTCAGCTTCCCGTGCTCTGCCTCTCGCCTTCCTGCTTTCCTCGGCGCCTTGCTTCTTCCCGTGCCTGCCTCGTTTCGCCACGATCTTTCTTTCTTTCCTTCCGCCCCATCCCGCGTCCAGCTGTGGCGCCCCGTCCTCCCCAGGGCTCTCGGCTGTGCCCCTGCTTACCTGCGTCCGCACATCTGGCCAGCGAGGCCGCCTCTTGCAGGCCAGGGAAAGCTGTTTCCCTTTTAAGGCTGTCGCCTCGCTTGTTCTCCGTCCCAGTTGAGTTGGTGACTGGCCCCAAAGATCTTCGTAGTGGCGATGGGAGGAGAGGCGCGAGGTCTGGCCTAGGCGCCCATAGATGTAATAAGAAAACAAATCGGATGAGTTAGTACAAACTAGCATTCTCTACATCCGCGCCAGTGCAAGCCTGCAGAACTGCAGCTTGGGAGCAAAGCAGTGTACTTGTTTAAAGGACAGTTAGGCAACAGTGCTTGGGGGATTCCTCCTGTTTGCAAAGCCACGTGTAATTACAGCTTCTTCCTGTCCCAAGGAATTAGAGAGTAGGCGGTCCTCAGGTGCGGTTTATGAAGATGAAGATGGAAATCGAGGGTGTGAGATGGTGCTAGTTTCCAGAACGGGACGCTTGGCACTAGAAATAAGTGTCAAGTGTCTGAGGGTGTCACACGCAGGAAGACAGATCTGCTGCCCCTCCCCTGAGTCGTCAACCCCCCCAAAGGACTTAGGTCTTTGTGTAATGTGCCAAGCATGGCTGGTGTCTATTAGTGACGTGGAAATATTGACCAAATGCCAAAGGAGCTAACAGGTAGGGAGCTTCTACAGCTGATTGAAAATAAGGCTAAGCCGGGCGTGGTGGCTCATGCCTGTAATCCCAGCACTCGGGAGGCTGAGGTGGGAGGATCCTTGCGAGTTTGAGACCAGCCTGGCCTCAAAGAGAGCTCAAGACCAGCCTGAACTGCATAACGAGACCCCATCTCAAAAAAAAAAAAAAAAGAAAAGAAAGCTAATGTGGAAAAGCCTGAAACTACAAAGTGTGCAGTTTTTAGCTGTGTCATTGGTAAAAAAAATGGCTTTCTTGCTAGATGTGGTGGTGCATGCCTGTAGTCCCCACTCTTGGGAAGCCTAGGCAGGAGGATTGCTATTTGAAGCCAGCCTGAACTATATAGTGAGACCCTGTCTAAATCAACAAACAACAAATGGCTTTTTTTTTTTTTTTTCTCTTAAAAGCTCTTGGTTTTAAAATAAAAACATTACTGGGCATGATGGTGTGTACTTGTATTCCCAGCACTCAAGAGGCCAAGGCAGGAGGATCATTGCAATTTTGAGACCAACTGGGCTACAAAGTGAGCTCAAAGGCAGCCTGAACTGTATAGTGACACTTTGTCTCAAAAATACCAAAAAACAAAAAAAATTAAAACATTATCTGAATAAGTTTTCAGTGAACTGAAGGCAAACAAATAATTGCAAGTTGAGTGACTAGAAGACATTCAAGTGTTTAAGTCAGTCCCCTCCCTGTTTAAAGGAGACTGAAGTTAAAAGGTGTCACAGCAGTCTCTGGCAGTCTGGCTTCCAGAGTATGCTGCAAACTTTTTAAGACAGAGTCCTGCTCTTGTTCAGAAGAGCCTCAAACTCTTGGCAGTCCTCCTGCTTCACTGAGATCACAGGCACAAACACCATCATCATCTGTTTTTGGTAATGCTTTTTTCTTGACCCCAGGTACAAACTTCCTGGCACTGCTCACTCTTAGAAACCCTTGGCTACATCGCCTCATTCAGGAGTGTTTACCCAGTCCAAACCATTTCCTGTGTGGGGTTTGGAACCTCACTAAACCAGTTGATTGAATACGTGCTCAAGGTCTGCATACAAGGAGCTGACCTGACTGGGGGGACATTCAGTTCCATAGCAAGTTTTAATTTGCTGACACCTAACAGTGCATTTCAGTTTCCTAATGTGCTATGTTTAGGGTCCTTCTCAGAGCCCCTTTTACCCCTGGGTCCCTTATGGCGTGTGATGGGTCTTTATCTCTGGAATTTCCTGGTAGTTGTGTGCCGAGAATCCAGAACACAGTCACCCTTATTACTTTCCCTTCACACTCAGGAGCTGAGGGAGAGAGAGAAGGAGGTGTGATTTGAGATGGAAGGGTAGCTGGATCTGCCTCTGATAGGGAGGAGGACAAGGTGTGCTCAGGCTTGGAGCCTCGGGCAGGGTGGCTTGGAGTCTGCAGAATCTTCGGGGAAGGGAGTGTCCTAGGAAGGAGTTTGGGGTTTAACCTGAAAGACTTCTCCTACCCATTACCTCATGCTGAGCATGAGTGTTCACGTTTACTTTGGAATTTGGAAGAGTGACTGTCTTGGTTACTTCTCTGTTGTTGCTGAGATAATACCTGACACTCAGAATGAAGGAAGGAAAGGTTTATTTAGCTCACAGTTGGTTCTGGTTTCAGTCCATACTCAGCTGGCTCCAAGGCAGGGGCAGAGGTTCCTGGCAGCCACAAGAACAAAGGGGAAAAGAGCAAAAAGAGGAAATGCAGGCCTCCTTTCCTTTCTTCCGTTGCATGCCAGCTCCACCCCTGGGCAGGTGCAGCACTCTAGCGCCAGACAGCGAACCAGTGGCAAACGCTACATAGACTCAGCTGCCTCTATGACTGGAAGTCTGAAATACTTAATTTTTCTTTCATTATTTGTTATGAATAGTGGTACATCGTGAATGTTTTGTGCATTTGAGGTGTGGACAGGAGTACAAAAAAAGTCATCAAGTTCAGGTAGGTAGTTCTCTACCCGGGGCTTTGCCAGGCCTCTGAGGAGCCCTCTTACATCTTAGGTGGATGAGTGAGAGACCCATTAAGTGGCTCCTGTCTGTAGCATCCCAAGGCTTTCCTCCCCCATGTCTTCAGGTTTAGAGGAATTAGAGGTCGGGCTGGAGGTATTCCCCGCCTAGACTAGCTCTCATTACCTCTGGCCATATCTATGGGGTGACCCAGTTTTCCCTTCTGATAGTGTGTTTTTCCCCCAGTACTGGGGGATGCACTGAGGGCCGTCACACTTCACGACATCCCTAGGCCTTTGGGGAAATTTTTTACACGCCTATCACCCCAGCACTCTGGAGCCTAAGGTAGGATGCTTGCCATGAGTTCTAGCCTGTGCTGCATAGTGAGACCCTGGCTCAAAAAGCCAAAAAACAAAAAGTTTCTTTCTTTCATTTTGGCCAGGGTCTCACTAAGCTGCCCAGGGGATTTAAACATCCTATGAATCTAGGTGTTCTTTGAATTAGGGAGATGGCGTGCAGCCTACAGGCTGAGGCCCTGTGGTGATCTCCAATGGGTCTGATAGAGTTCCTAGACACAGAATGTCTGCAGTTGTCGTGGAATCTTGTTTTCACAAATGAAAAAAAAAAGGTGTTTCCTCTTTTCCCCCAAAAAGCAAAAAATAAGCTGGATGTGGTGGTACACACCTGTGATCCCAGCGCTTAGAGGCTGAGGCAGGAGAATCCTGTGAGTTTGGGGCCAGCTTGGGCTGCATTGTGAGACCCTGCCTCAAAAAAACCCCCAAAAGAGTTCCTGAGAGGTAGCTAAGGGCACACAGCACTTCTGATTGTCAAAGAATCCACGGTGAGATGGCGTGTGCCTGAGGGTCCAGCTCCTCTGGGTGTTGAAGGTGAGGGGTCGCAGGTTCAGTAGCTTGAAGCCAGCACGGGTGAGTTACTGAAACTCCTCCATCCCGCAGTGAACGGACTGGGGATGTCACCCATTGGTTGAGGGCTTGATCCTAAGTACTGCAAACGAATATAAAAACAGTCGAGAGGGACAGGAAGTAGAAGGAAAACTCTACTCACTGAACTTGAGCGAAAAGCAGCAGAGGGGTTGTTAGCGGGTTGCAGGGTGCTCCTGTGAGCCGGGGTACTGCTGGGGAGGTCGTGGTTCACTTCGCCCCTGTGCCTCAGTTTTGATCCTTCCAGACCAAAGGGTTGCGTGCCTTCTCCTTTCGTATGAGGCGAGGTCCTCATGGCTGTCTGGTTTCATTTCTGCTTCTGTGCAACGACAACTATCATTATGACTCTAATTACGGGACACAGGCTGGGTTTTCTTTTCCTTTTAATTTACCAGCCTGGCTCGTGAACCAGACAGCCACGGTGTCATACAATAATGGGCTTACTGTCGCTGCAGGACAGGAGGCTTTGTTCCCAAGTGGCCCTGAGACACGCTGGCTGGCTGAGCTAACAAAGGTCCGAAAATGGTGTCTACTTTGGTGGAAAAGGGTGGGGCGGTCAGTTAGAACAAACGCTACTGCTACTGTAACCTGGGCCGACAGACGCAGTCTGCGTGTGACCACCCTCCGAAAGAGTGCTGCTCCAGTTCCTCATCTCTTTCGGGACACCAGATTGCTACCCAAGTGACAGTTTATTTATTTTAAAACATTTGTATTAATTCATGTTTGCAGAAGCCGATTATATTAATTATGGGAACAGAACATAAAGGTGCTTCGTAGGGGTCTTGCCCTCAGGGCTGTTTTATTTAAATGGCTTGGATTTTAGGTCTGCATGAAGTGAAGGGACAATTGACAAAAGGAAGAAAAAATTTCTGTAGCATATATGTGTATATATGTGTGTGTAACTCACAAGAAAGTTTAAAAATTCAAATATAAATGACATGAAGTTACTAATTTCTGCTTAATGATATTTAATTCTGAAGCATACATGGAAAAATAGAGCTGAGAGCTAGGGAGTGATTGTTCAGTGATGAGAGGATGTGGATTAGGTAATGGTGACAGCTGCGCACAGCTACAGACTGGAGCCATCAACTTCAGGGCCAGCAATGGACCTCAGCAGCACGGTGCCCGCAAGCCTGAGATCATGAGTTCGGTTCTTGTTACTAACCTAAATAATAAAAGCATTGACTTAGTGTCAGGGTGAGTTATATCACACTACCAGGCCTTTGGGCTGTTCAAAAAACAGTGTTAAGGATTGACATCAAAGAATAAAACAGCAAAATAAAGATAGATGATAGGAAATAAGGGAGATAGGTATTTTACAAAAGATGGAGAGGAAAGGCTGGGGATTTGGCTCAGTGGTGTAAGTGCCTGTCTGACAAGCATGAGGTCACCAGTTTGATCCCTGGTACAAAAAAAAATTTTTTTTATTTTGATGAAGATGGGTATGGTGGTGCAAGCCTATAATCCCAGCACTCCTGGGCCTGAGACAGGAGGATCGCCACAAGTTTGAGGCCAGTGTGGACTACATAGTGAGTTCAAGACCAGCCTGGACTACAGAGAGACTGTGTTTCAAAATAAAGAGAGAGCTGGGGATTTAGCTCAGTGGCATAAGAGCCTGCCTGGCAAGCACAAGGTCATGAGATTGAGCCCTCCTAACACAAAAAAGGAAAAAAAAAAAAAAAAAGCGAAGAAAGACTCACCGGCTGGGCTTTGTGGTGCTCACCTAGCATCTCAGCACTCAGGACCCCCAAGCACAAAGGTGTTGGGAGTTCCAGGCCAGCCTGGGCTACATAGCAAGACCCTGACTCAAACAACAAAACACCCAAGGGTGGGGCAGATGAACTGAAGTGTGCAGTATGGCCCCCCCCATGAGGAAACTGTTACCTGTTGCAAACAGGTGGTGGTAAACATTACAATGGCGGGGGCTGGGGGGGCCTGCAGGGCAGCTCTTTGCACCTTCCTAACACCCCCCCTTCTCGCCCCCCAGCTGTCTTCCCTGTGCTCCAGAGCGGACCTGGCCTTGCTCAGATCTGTGCTCACCACCATGATTCTTTTTGGCATGGCTGTTTCAGAGTGAGGCCCCCTTCACATTTTTTATTTAACTTTTACTTACACTTTTTAAATTTTCTTTAATAAGCATGTTTGTCTTTAGAAATAAGGATAATTATTTTTAAAAAGCCTAGATCAGAAGCCAGATGTAGTGGCCCACACCTGTCATCCTAGCCCTCAGGAAGTTGTGGTAGGAGGATCATTGGAAGTTCAAGACCAGCCTGGGCTACAAAGTGAGCCCAAGGCCAGCCTGAACTGGGTGGCGAGATCCTGTCTCAGAAGAAGAAGAAAGAAAGCAAGTGTGAATCAGGCCCTGCAGCCCAAGGACGGAGCCCTGTCCAGCAGGTGGCTGAGGCTTGTGTGTCTGGCCGAGCTTCTGCGTGTGGAAGCTGGCCCGGCCTTGCCCTCTCAGCCTCCCTTTGCTGCCCTGTCTGGGGGCCGCTGTACCCCTTTGCGCAGGGCTGGGCCGTGAGGAGGGCACCGCTTCCCAGTGTGCTGCATCTGCTGGACTCCAAGAGCAGCAGCAGCCGCTGCCTGAGGTCTGTCAGGCTGGGGTGGAGACTCCCCTTCTACCCCCGATTTTTCCATGCCAATCTGATGTTTCTATGCAGTTGGCATCAGTTGGAAGGAGGCAGTTTTCCTGAGAAATGTTACTTTCTAGCACACGGAAAAGCTCCTCTTCCTTGTAAGGTCCTGCCACACGTGTTCAAAAAAGATACTTAGGCTCAGTCCTGTGGGCCTGGGTACCCTTGGTGGCTGGGCTGGGCACATGGGGCATAGCAGTACCCCCTGGAGTCTGACACAGACACACACGCCACATGCCACATGCAGGTGTGCTCTTAACCAGCCACCTCCCTTGAGCCCAGGCCGGAGGTGCCCAGCCGCATTGCAGAATCAGAATGGAGTTTAAGCTGCTTTGCCAGGCCACTCTCTGAATTGTCGGGGTCTGGGAGCAACAGTGTTTCCATTGCAGTCACCTTGGGAAGAGCACCTGCCCCTTCCCAGACCTGCGCAGAAGGGAGATTGGCCTGGCCTGGACGGTGGTGGGGGTGGGGGCCAATTCCGGCCTCTGCTGCTCACGCTGCAGCTGCTGCTGGGACCAGAGCCCCGCTCAGCCTGGCGTGGCACTGGCCAGGCTCTGGCTTGTGACATTCGCTTTCCCTGGGCCGGTGCAGTGCGGTGTAGCAGAGGTTCACGGCCTGGTGCAGCTCTGGAGGCCTTTCCTGCTAAGTTGCTTTCAATCTCGAATGTGGTTTCAGTGTCCTTTAAGGGGCTGGTGGGTGAAATTGGGACGAGGCTGCCACTGATGACTGGATTCTTGATTCACTGCCCTTCCTCCCTTATTTTTGTATCATGTTTAAAGCAATGTGTTAAAAATTCTCACTGCTAATGTGTGCTCACATTTATTTAAAGCATTATATTACCCCATACCAGAGGCCCGAGCTGAGGCATTTGCAGCCAGCCTGAACCTGTATAGTGAGACTGTCTCAAAACAAAAAAGCAGGAGCCCAAAAATGGCCTCAGAGTTTAGAGTTTCACTAACAATGCCTGTGTGTGTGTGTATGAATATGCATATAAAAACCTGGGTGGAACTTTTATTTAAAAAACCGGGACTTTTTTTTCTCAGTGCTGGGGATCCTAGGTCCTTGTACAAACTCCTGATTTTGCAGAGTAAGGAAAGAATTCCAGCCCAAGAGTTGCTCTGTGATCGATGGCACCAGGCCAGGATTGGTGCTTGTGAGATTAGTTAATGCCATAGTAGATGAGGACACTGATTCATTCCAGAGCTCCTGACTGATGGCGGCCAGCCAGGTCTCAGCCCGGGACTTTCAGAGTTCTGTCTCCCACCCAGCCTGTGGTGCTGGAGGTCCAGTGACTCCCTTTAACTCTTTTTTTTTTTTTTTCCCTTTAACTCTTATCTGCTGGGAGTCATTGCTTTTATAAAAAGTATAGTGTGAGTCACCAAAGAAATTAGATGTGAAAAGACATAGAAAATGCAGCTCCTGTATAATAGTAGCTTCAAAATGGTTTGGACAGCTTGCTGTAAATATCTGAACATTTACTTTGAATTTCTGTACCTCATCATAGGCTACTGGGATTCCTGTGGGCAAACACTGGCACAGGATATGTTGCAGAAGCAGTGGAAGAACTGGGCTCTGTTTTCTTTTTGGTGTTTTATAGTTTATTTATTTATTTAGAGGCAGGGTCTCGCTGTGCCGTTCAGGCTGGCCTTGAACTCACTTTGTAGCTCAGGCCAGCCTTGAACTCACAGGGACTCACCTGCCTCAGCCTCCCAAGTGTGTGGAAGACAGGTGTGCCCCCCCCCCCGCCGTGCTGTTTTACATTTTAAACATTTACAGAAATAAGGAGAATAATACAAAAACTCCAAGTGCCTGTCACCCAGCTTCTGCAGAGCACACCTTCATGTCAGTCCTCACAGTTTCACACCTTTCTCTTGCCAGACTATAATCTTGAAGGAAATCTCATATTTCATTTAATTTACTAATTTCTTTACATCTTCCTGTGCATCTCAAAAAGATAGATATCCCTAAAACATTAAGCGGCACACCTGAAAATCAGTAATGTCTCATTGTCACTGGAAGTGCTATCAGGGTTTACATGTCCCAGCTCATTCACACATGGCAGCTTAGGGTTGATTTCAAGTAGGAAATTGTTCTTCATTGATTTTTACTTACTTACTTTTTCCTTTTTTGAGACAGGCTCTCACTATGCAATTGAGGATGGCTTTGAGCGTACTTTGTAGCCCAAGCTGGTCTCAAATTTACAGTGATCCTCCTGCCTCAGCCTCCTGAGTGCTGGGATTATGGATGTGTGCCACCATGCTTGGCATCCTTTTTTTTTTTGGTACGGGTATTTGGGCTTCTGAAGGGATAACGAACTGCAGCTTTTGTGAGGCCGCTGGCCTTCTCTGTCCCATCACTGCTGGCATGGTAGGACATCTTTTTTTTTTTTTTTTTTTTTTGGTCTTTTTCCTTTTTATTGGTACCGGGGATTGAACTCACGACTGCCTGCTTGCAAGGCAGGTGCTTATGCCGCTGAGCTAAATCCCCAGCCCCTGGTAGGACATCTTTTATCAAGCGTGGGTGCCTGAGCTTGGCCTTGCTTGTGGGGAGGTGCTGGCTTCCATGCATCGTGCTGGGGCCTCTCCCTGCCCTGCACAAACCCATGGGCTGGGAGGGGGTTGGGCAGGTTCCTGGATGGTTCTGCGCTCTGCATTTACTGAGCAGGCAACCCTGGCACCAGGCACACAGCCACGTCTGTAAAGCTGTGTTGACTACTTAGCATCAGGACAAAGGAACCAGAGACCAGGACGCTGGTCCAGGCCTGTGTCCCCTCCCCCAGGCTCTCACCCAGTTGCTGATCTGTGTCTGCCCTCCTCAGGTTCTTCGCGCTCACCTCCCTCCGCCTCGTGTTTCTGCTTGCCTTCAGCTTGATGATCCTCGTGTGTATCGATCAGTGGAAGAGCAAAATCTGGCCTGAAATCAAAGGTAAGTTGGTGGTGTTTAAGAAGTGAAGCGGAAATGGGTGATTCGGTGGTGTTTGAGAAGTGGAGTGGACATGGCCGTTTGTCCTTCTTGCCTGGAGTTGGGGGCTGGGAGGTGTGCATGGCCCTGGACACTGCTTTGTGCTGGAGTCATCTGCCTGGGAGACGCCAGGAAGGAGCGGTCCTGCCTTCCCATGGGCATGGGGCTGGGAGTCCGTGTCCGCAGCCAAGGAATAAGTACCCCTTCTTCCTGGATCTGATCTTTACTAAGAAAGCATCAGTCTGCCTCTAGAATGTCTTCCAGGTCCAGGGGATGCCAACACAGTGAGACTATTGTAGAGAAGAATTCTTTTGGCCAGCTGTGGTGGCCCACACCTGGGATCCCAGCACTTGGGAAGCTGAGGCAGGAGGACCACTGAGTTTGAGGCCAGCCTGGGCTACATCACAAGGCCTTGTGTCAAGATTGAAAAAGATAAAATGAAACTTTGTTGTGTTTAAAATTGCTCATTTGCAAAGCACTAGGCTAGATGTTATATGAATGCAAGGTGCCAGCAGGTACGGTTCATTTCTTCAGAGATTACACACAAATACAAATTACATGGCAGTTACTGGAGAATCCTGGAGGCGCCCCAGTGGGCCCCAGGCCTGGTGCAGTTGGTTGTGTGTTTTGCCCCTGGCAGGAGCCCAGGTGAGGCAGAGTGGGGGGTGGGGTTCTCAGCTAGGTTAGCTTAGGGAGCCACAGCTCAGCGCATCTGGTAGGGTACAGAGCACATGGGATAGCACAGGCTGGGGAGGACTGAGCAGTGCTGTGTCCAGTCCCACGTCACAGCTGCTAAGGAGAGGGGGTCCGCAGGTAAAACTGAAATCCGCTGGCCCCAAAGTGATCCTGTCCCACAGAAAAGTGAAGCAGGAGGCCAGAGGACCCGGTAGAGGACTGCAGCAGCGTCGCTGTGGTGAGGTGCTGGTGAGCCATTCCAGCTGGGGACTCGGTGTTCAGATGCGTTTATGGCTGGCAGGGAGTTGTGAGAGACTTCCCACAGTGGGGCTGTCAGCTGAGGGGATGCGAGGGCCTCTGCAGTCCACTTGGAACCAGTGTTGCCCCAAGTGAAGCAGGCACAGCCCCTGCCCTGGCTTGTGATGTGGCGTCTCCTGGTCCCCGGCTGTTACTATTCCTTTTCCCCAGACTCCCAGCAGGGGCTGTCAGGCCGCAGCCCACTAACCCTGTTGTTTGTTTTAATGTTGCAGTGCCGAGGCCCAACACACTGGACAATGAGAGGTATGGACACTTGATGGTCCCTCCCCTGCCAACTCCCTTGCAGTGTCCTAGCTAAGTGCGGCTGACCCCATGCTCTGGGCACACAGTGGGAGCTGAGGGCCCAGCCTCTTCTCATTGTCCTTGTAACAGACACCAAGGCCCAGGCAGCAGTGTGCGTGGGGACGGCCACGTCCTCTGAGCTTTGTCCCAGAATGTGCCCGAGACTGGCTACGTTACTGGCCCTCGCATAAGACGTGGGGGTGGCTGCCTTCTTGGCCTCCTGGCTTTTATACCAGCCCCTCAGTGTGCCCTGTGACCTCTGGCTACTTAAAGCTCCTGGCCAGAAAACGCTCTGGTTCCTGCCATTGGAAGCCAATGCCAAAGGTTGCTCTCATGTCTGCCACTCCTGCCCACGCTGGCTTCAGTCCCCTTGCCCTGCTCATGGGGCTGTGCTGTGTCCTGGTCTCCCACACTGGTGGCGGCCTCCCATCTGGATATGCCTGCTCTCCCAGCCCCCAAATTCAGCTCTCAGCCTGGGGGGCAAAGAGCAGAGCTGCACTTCCCTCTGCAGCACCTGGAAGCTGCAGCCACCCACACAGTGCCCACTCATGACTGCCCCCCTCCCCCACAGCTGGGGCTTTGTGCACCCTCGGCTGCTCAGCGTGCCCGAGCTCTGCCGCCATGTCGCCGAAGTCTGGGTGAGCGGGGCTGTTTTCATGAGGAATCTCCTGCTTTTCAAAAAGCAAAACCCAGGCAAGGTAAGCCCTCTGTCCAGCATGCTGAAAGGAAGCAGGCCCTGGACTCAGTATCCGCTGTCCAGGCCGAGCAGGGAGGCTGGGGCAGCTGCTCCATCCCCCAAGCCGCCCTCCCCTTGCCCTGCCTGCTCCTGTGCACTCTTTATGTGAAACTGATGGGCTTTGCATCTCATGGCGTTTGCTTCCTTAACGTCCCCACGCCAGGACTGCTTTCCAATGCATTTCTGGCCAATTCCCGTGCACACCCATTTCTGGCCTGAAAGATGCAGCCTCGTGGGGTCAGCTACAAAAAAGGGGGTGCCTGCAGATGGCTCCCCTCCCTCACAGACACAGGCAGGCACACCGGTAGTGCTGGCCTATCCAAGCTTCACCTAGGGACCCCAGCTGGGCCCCCAGGATTAACACCACCTGCTTCCTTCCCAGTTCTGCCTGCTGAGCTGTGGGCTCCTCACCTTCCTGGCCATCCTGGGCCGATGCGTCCCTGGGCTCCTGCTGTCCTACCTGCTCCGTAAGTGTGGGCGTGCTTCATGTCTCCACTGCCCCTGGTGCCCTAGCTGCGGCAAGCCTCATGGCTGGGGCAAGGCCTGCGCTAGCCTGCCTCTTCAGAAAGCAGCTTTCTTGGGTCCCTGTGACCTGGTCAGTGCCATGGAAGTGTCCCCACCTCTGCAGTGAGCTTCTGTGACTGGAGTCCATTTGTCTCTTGGCTGTTTGTGGGTACTAGGGGTCATTGCCTGGGCCCTACACCTATCAGGTCAGCGCTATAACATAGCCTCTCCCAGCCAAGGCCGTCTCCTACCATACCAGGTTTGCAGATCCACTGACCACCAAGATGTGGCCAGTGCAGATAACTGCCAGCTGCTACTTATGGAGATTTTCAGAACAGGACTTCAGGTTCCTCTACTAGGTCCTGCCAGAGACACAGCTCAGCAGCACAGTGCTGTCCTACCTTGGGCTGGCCAGCACAAGGTCATGAGTTTGATTCCTGATACCAAAATAGAACTCTCTCCTCGGTCCTGCTTTCCAGGAGCACCTACCCTCCCGAGAACATGTGTGTCTGTTTCTTCACTTCTGGTCGGGGCTAGTGGCCCTGAGTGTCAGCTGTGACTATCACATCAGAACCACACATGAATGCAGCCCAGCTTGTGGCTTGGTGGCACCCATGTGCGAGTGACCACACTGTCCACAGGCAGTGGCCCAGGTCCGCAGGCTCCCTGTGCTGCAGAACCAGGAACGCCGGAGCCCCACCAGGCAGTGAGGGCAAGTGGGGTGCTCCATGCTACCTGTTCCCACATGTCACATCCCCTCTCCTGTCCTCAGTTGTTGCAGTGCTATTGTGGCCCCTGACTGTGTACCACCGCCTGTGGGACTGGGCCTATGTACGCCTAGAGCCGGCTTTGCAGCGGCTGGACTTCAGTGTGCACGGCTACATGATGTTCCGGCAGAGGGAGCGGCAGCGTGAGTGCCCCAAGGGGCAGGTTGGCTGCGGGGGGGGGGGGGGGGGGGCACTGCGGAACTGAGAGACACACCCAGCCAAGGAAGGTGGGTGTCAGGCTTGTCCCTTGGTGTCTCCTGGGGTGGATGGAGCCCTTCCATGTGCCCAGGCCCGGCCGATGTGTTTTACCCATGACAGTCCTTAGAGGTGAGCAGTATCCCTCCTCCCCCAGCTGAGGGCCCTGGGCTGCTGCCTCCCACTGCGCTGGCCTCTCTCTATCCCTTTCAACTTTTTCCAGCCAGGCTTTGTGTTAGGCTGTGGCCAGGCTAGTTCTGGGCCAGGTGGTCAATCGGTGTTGCCTGGTTAACCTGCTGTGTGCTCAAGGCTGCTTGTGTGTGTGGCACCTGGCAGGGGTGCTGGGGAGCGATCCTGCCTTTAGGCCGTGCTCCTCAGAGAGAGGCATCATGGCTGCCTGGTCTACCCACAGTGCGCCGTAGAGCTCTGCACCCGGAACGTGCTGGGGACAATGGCAGTGACAGTGAGGAGGAGTTGGCCGCCTTCTGTCCTCAGGTATCCACATGTGCCACTGCCCCACCAGCCTCCCACCAGGCAGGCACTCACACACAGGTGGTGTCACTCACAGGCCTGCATGGGCCCTGAGAACTGAGGGTCCCTTGGTCCTGAAGATGGCACCAATGGCACTGAGCCCAGGGAGGCTCCCAGTGGTCGGTGGCTATTCCTCACGCACGTATGGGCTTTTCTGTCCCCAGCTGGACGACTCCGCCGTGGCCAGGGAACTGGCCATCACAGACTCGGAGCACTCAGATGCTGAGGTCTCCTGCACAGACAATGGCACCTTCAATCTCTCTCGGGGCCAGACGCCCCTAACAGAGGGCTCTGAAGGTGAGGGAGGGAGGCCTCCGTGGAGGGCGGGGGTGCGGTCATGGCTCATGATGGTGTGGGAGAAGCCTCCGGGGGCTTTGCAGGAAGACACAGGAGACGTGAGTTGCCTTCTGGAGGCCAAGGCTCAGACACCTGTGTTCTCCCAGACCTAGATGGGCACAGTGACCCGGAGGAGTCCTTTGCCAGGGACCTTCCAGACTTCCCTTCCATTAACGTGGACCCTGCTGGCCTGGAAGATGAGGACGACACCAGCATCGGGATGCCCAGCCTGATGTTCCGGTCCCCCACTGGGGCTGAGGCTCCCCAGGCGCCCCCTGCAGGCCGAGAGGAGGCTTCACTGCCAGAGCTCCTACTGGGCACCCTGCCTGCAGGCTCCGCCCTCACTAGCAACCTCGCCAGCCTGGTCTCCCAAGGTGTAATCCAGATGGCCTTGGCAGGGGCCTCCCAATCAGGCCCTTCTGTCCCCTTGTCCCGGAGAGCGACCCGGGGTGTCCTGTGGGCTCCCAGTTCTGACCTGGACACAGATGCCGAGGGAGATGACTTTGAGCTGCTGGACCAGTCGGAGCTGAACCAGCTGGACCCTGCTGGCTCCAGAAGCCATTGAGCGGTGGGCTGGAACTGTGCTTTCCTGCAGGATGCCCAGCCTGCTGCCCAGGACTATTTGTGCTTCACCATGAGGGCACACGCTCCCCAGAAGGTCCTGAGGAACCGAGTCAGGAAGGGGCGCTGGGGGCCCTCACAGAGAGCCCAGCCCACCCTCACCCACTCCTCTGGAGTCCCAGCCAGGCAGCAGCAGTTGTTCTGTCCTTTGTGGACCACGGTGTGGTGTTTCCAGAGCGAGCCCATCCCTTGGTTCTGCAGAGCAGGCCTGCACCCCTTCCCACCTGTCCTTGGGCCTCAACAACAGACCTTGAAGTACTGCTTGTGAGGTTCAGGCAAGGTGAGGACTGGCATCTTTCACACGTGGGTCACAGGGGCCACTGTGAGGCGTCCCTGCCCACTGAGCACCCCGACCCTCCTGGGCTCTGTGGTGTCTCTGGTGCTGCTGTCCCTGGCTCCTTATACCCTCAGGCTGCACAGTGAGCCAAGCAATACTGTGTCCATCCTGGTGTCCCTGTCCCTCCCCAGAGCCTCCTGGAGAAGCAAGAGCACCGCAGGGACGGCACAGTAGCACTTTACAGGTGGCTTTGTGACAAGCACCGCAGGGCCAAGGCTGTTCTCCCCTGGTCGGTGAGCTGCATGAGGAGCCTGCCGACAGGAGCTGGGAAGTGACGCCTCTGGCCTTTACTCAAATCATGTGTCACAAAAACCCAACTGTCACTGGCTCCAAACCTGTGCCAGCCTCACCTCTGCCACAGTCCACAGAGCTTAAGCCAAACTGTTCCCATGTCCCCACTGCTGCCAATCCTCAGGGACCACTTGCCCGTGAGAGGTGTTCAGCGGAGCCCAGGTGGCCATCACAGGTGGGGTATGTTCACCTGTAGCTCTAGGCAGACAGATGGGTGACCTCCCGGGGCAGAGCTGGGTGTGTGGGTGGTCACCACTTAGGAAGATTCACCAAGTTCTCCCACAGGCTGTAGGGCCACAAGGTGTCTTAGGGGGCTCTGGTGTGGAGGACATGGAGGTGTGGGGGAAAAGAGTGGAAGGTCACAGGGGAAGGAAGGAGAGCTATACCACCCTGGCTTTGCCCCCAGCACGCCCACCTCGAGGCTGCTTCCTCCACTGTGAATGGGGTGGGTGGGATTGGTGGTGCTGGGGAATAAATCTCCGAGAATCATCTTTTAAGTAGTGCTGACCTGTGTCCTCCTTGAAGAGCTAGTGCTCTTTGTTTACTGAATTCCAACTGCTTAGAGTGCTGGAGTCGCACCTGTTTTCTCTGGGGATGGTGCGAACAGGAGGCACAGTGAGGGGCCACCATCCCTCTGCAGTGCACGCAGGAATTCACTGGCCATCTTGGTGGCATTCAGCGGCAGTTTCCATTTACAGTTCTTAGCGCTGCAACATGAGCAGTGAGCACATTTCAGACGAAGGCCGGTTAAGTTTTAGCAGAGACACTAAAAAGCGCCGTGTTCCCAGGCATGGCGGCGCACGAATGTAATCCCACCCCTCGGGAAGCCGAGGCAAGACAGCTGCGAGTTTGAGGCCAGGCTGGGCTACACAGGGAATAAACGTGGTCCCTAGTGCTAAGGGAGCGCACCAGGCTCTTCCTCTGGATTCTGTGGGTCGCGAAGACAGCTGCTTTCCGGCTTTCAGCTGATCTCAAAACTAAAAATACTTATTTCAGTCTCTGGCCACTGTGGTCAGGAGTGGAAAGCACCCGGCTGCCAGGTGCTGCCCAGCCCGCGGAGCCGACTACGTAGCCCCTCCCTGGCCCTACCTTTGCGGGTCGGAACCACTGCGGTGACGAGCACCACCTGCGCGCGCGGCCTGGGGGCGGCAGGTGGCGGCCCGATCTCCCGCGCATCAGGCCCGCCGCAAGCACGGTCGTGGGGCCAGGCAGCCCTGTAGTAAGCGGTTGCAGGTCCCCCTGAGGGTCACGAGTGCTAGGCGAGGATGCCCCGGGCTCCACGCCGCAAGGCTTTGCTCGAGATAGCCTTCGTCCCAGGGCTTGGCGGGTCGGTACGAAATGCAAGCGGGGCTGAGATGAACCACTGCGCCCAGGAAGGGCAGCCGCGCTCCAGAGAGGCTTCCCTTTCAGCCAATCGTCATCGGGCAGGCTTCCCTTCGAACCAATCACCAGAAGGGTTTCTCTCCAGCCAATCATCGCCTGAGGCCCGCCCTTCGCTGCCGGAAGGAGCCTTCATCCTGGGCAACCACGACATCCGGTTTTCAGTTTGGCGGCGGGAAACGGCCATGAGTAAAGGCCGAGCAGAAGCTGCGGCCGGAGGTAACGGCGGAGTGAACGGTTAGGAAATAGGGACCCGGGAGGAGGCCCGCCAAACGACCCCCTCCCGCTGCGTCTCTCCACAGCCCCCGGGGTGGTCCTGAGGTACCTGCAGGAACAGAACAGGCCCTATAGCGCGCAGGACGTGTTCGGAAACCTTCAGCGGGAACACGGGCTGGGCAAGGCGGTGAGCACCGGCCTCGCGCCCCGCGGCCCCAGTCCTCCGAGCCCTCGCGGGTGCGACCGCTGACAGCTGCACCCTCCCGGCAGGCGGTGGTGAAGGCGCTGGAACAGCTGGCCCAGCAGGGCAAGATCCGGGAGAAGACCTACGGCAAGCAGAAGATCTACTTCGCCGGCCAGGTGGGGGCCGCGCGGCCATCGCCCGGGCCCTGGGGAGCGACCCCCCCAGACCGTGCCCTCCTTTTCCACGGCTTGCATTCGCGAGCTCCCCGCCTGCTGTTACTGGGGCCACGTCTGCCTGGGCCCCTGTTTCCCAGCAGCCGGGCCGGCCTCGCCCTCTGCCAGATCCACCTTCGCAGCCCCTCCGCGGCACACACTGCAGATGCTGCTCGCCAGCTTGGCTCCGGAGCCACAGCAGTGTCCTGGCCTCATTTCCCCCGGCAGGCTGCTGCCTGCTGCTCTTCTCCCTTTGGCCCCTCGGTGTCTGCTCAATAGAGCACAGCTGAGCTCGGTTTGTTTTTGTTTCGCTTTGGGCTGTTTTTTTTTTTAAAGGCACGGTTTCGCTATGTGGTTCAGGCTGGCATTGAACTCATTGTGTAGCCCAGGCTGGCCTGGAACTCAAGGGTGAGCCTCTTGCCTCAGCCTCCAAAGTGGCTGGAATGACAGGTCTGTGCCTCTGTGCCAGACTCTTTTCTCTTTCCGAAGCAGGGAATAGCTTCTGAGAGGTGCCCTTTGGTTGGTGTCCTCGGCCTCCTGGCTGTGCCCCAGCTTTGTGCCCTATGTCACTCGCACGGCCTTTCTGTCCCCGACAGGACCAGTTTGACACTGTGAGTGATGCGGATCTCCAGACTCTGGATGCCAAGATTGTGGCTCTCACTGCGAAGGTGCAGAGCCTGCAGCAGAGCTGCCGCCACCTGGAGGCCGGTAAGCCGGGCCCTGAGGTTCCCATGGGCCAGGTTTCCTGGGGTCAGGAGATACTGGGTACTGGGTTCCAATCTGTTGCTGTCACCACAGCAGTGTCTCAGGGATCACCTGAGACTTTAAAAAATAGCGGGGTGTGGTGGGGCAGGCTTGTCATCCCAGCACTCTGGGAGGCTGAGGCAGGAAGATCACAAGCGCACCTTGAAACCCTGTTCCAAAACAAACAGAGGGGCTGGGGCTGAAGGCTCTGGTTCATTCCCAAGCACTGCCAGGAAACTGGAGAAATCACAAACTGACATTGTCTGTGCAGACCCAGGCTGGATGCACGCTGTTTTGTTGTCCCCTGTCCCCCACTCCTTGTATTCTGCCCCTGCGGGGCTGCCAGAACCCCTGGCCTCACCTTACCACTACTCAGAGATTGAGGTGCGGAAAAAATTGAGCAAACGGCCAGTTCCTTGCGCCTCTGACCTGAACCTGCACAAGGCGGCAACCTCCAGGCCCAGACACCTGCTGAGCAGTACTCTCCTTCCTCTGTGGGCTGAGGTGACCCGGGGTGACCTGGCTACCACCATTTCAGAGCTGAAGGAGCTGACCAGTGCTCTGACCACCCCAGAGATGCAGCGCGAGATCGAGCAGCTGAAGGCCCAGTGCGCTGTCTTCACAGAGAGGCTGCAGGGCATCAAGGGTGCTGCCGCGCATGTGACCCCTGAGGAGAAGGAACAGGTGAGAGCTGTGGCCAGGGGGCGGGACCAGGGTGAGCAGAGCCCAGCCAAGCCACACTGTCCCCACAGGTGTACCTCGAGCGGCAGCGGGTCTGCAGGGAGTGGCGTGTGCGCAAGAGGATGGTGAGTGGCAGAGATGCCTGAGGCTGCTAAGCCCTGTGCAGCCAGGTCATCTGTGCCCCTGTCCCCTGCAGGCGACCGAGCTATGTGAAGCCATCCTTGAAGGCTACTCGAAGAGCAAGAAGGCATTGTTTGTAAGTGGCCCCAGCCCTCGAGGTGCCCTGGGGTCCTTGGTGGTACAGTGCCTTCATTGTCACCACCCACAGGAGGAGGTGGGCATTGAGACGGATGAGGACCACAATGTGGCGCCCCCAGACCCCTGAGACCTCCGTGGGAGACGTGCCTGCCAGCTTCTCCCGGTTGTCCATTCCTGGTCTTGGAGCAGAGCAGCATGGTGCACTCAGCCCAGCAGGGAGGGGACCATGGGTCCCTGGCCCTGCCATGTCGCAGTGGTTTGAGCCAGTGATGCTAGCACCAGCCTTGGAACAAATGAGGCTGGAGGAACACACCTGATGTTTAATTTCATACAAAAATGCCGACTTCCCTGTGGGCAGGCAGAGTCCCACCAGCCACCCTGTGGATAGTCCTTAGGCTCAGGGTGGAAAGGCCTCTGCCCTCGAGCCCTGGGGTGCTGGGGAAACAGGCTGGGTGGTTCGGAGGCAGTTCACTTTCCAAGGTGGTAACCAGCAGAATTGCATTGTTGGTATTTGAAAAAAATAAGATTTGCAACATGCAGCCCTGTGTCCTGCTTGCTTTTGGGGGGAGGCACAAAGGGCTGGGAGGCTGTGCCTACTCCAGAGCCCAGATCCTGGCCCGGCCCAGCCCCCTTTCAGTAAGTCTGTGTCCTCTCTGGCCACTGCTAAGTGCCCACACCTGAGCTCCCGCCTGGTAGGCTGGAGCAGGTGGAGCTTGTGAACCTCAAGTCCTGGCCCAGGACCTGAAGATTGGTGAGGCCAAGGCTCTCTACAGGGCCAGCACAGGTCCAGCTGCATGGTCAGAAAATAAATTAGAAGTGTTCATGAAACATGCTTCTGCACAGGTGCCAGGCACTGGGCCACCAAGTAGCAGTTAGAGCCCCCCTGGCTGGTGAGGCGGTGTCTGGCCAGGCAGGGGACAGCTGAACTCCAAGGTGCCTGTGGCCTTCAGTAAAGTTGGTTCTTCAGCTGGTGCAAGACACCCAGCACAGTGTCTCGCAGTGTCTGTGGGCAGAGGGAGATATGCTCAGGCAGGGTGGCCAATAGCTCCCTGGGGCTCAGCCCCTACCTTGGAACGCCCCAAGAGGGGCTGGCAGTGCAGGCAAAAAAAACAAATACAGTTAACTACTGGTGGCAGAATTTAGGCACCAGCTACAGCTATTCGCCTTCAAATTGTCACCGTGACAGCACATTTAACTTAGCCAGGCTTGGGTGGTGACAGTGGCACACACATGTGATCCCTGTACTGGGGAGACTGAAGCAGAAGGATTGCTGCGAGTCTGCAGCCAGCCAGTACTACACAAGACCATCTCAAAAAAAAAAAAAAAAAAAACGGAGGGCTGGGGATTTAGCTCAGCACCATAAGTGCCTGCTTTGCAATCATGTATGTTGTGAGTTTGATTCCTGGTACCAAGAAAAAAAAAAAAATCTTGGGAAGTTGGGTATGGTGTAGGGCACATCTGTAATCCTAACACTGGGAGGCTGAGGCAGGAGGGTCACAAGTTCAAGCCCAGTTCAGGCAATTTAGCAGGTTGGGGTTCCACCTCCTAGTACTGCAAATAACAACCAAAACACATGAAGCAAAATCTCAGGTCCAAGTCCAAACCTGAGAAAAAGCAGCCAGGCCTCGAAAGGCTGCAGCAGCTGCAGCCACCATGGAACACAGGGACAGCTGCTCGAGCTGGCCGGGCAGGCCCACAATCCCACCCCCACCCAGTGCTGGTGCCTGGTGTTTCCACATGGGCAGGTGCCAAGAGGGAGCGTACCTGGGGCTTGCAGTGCTCCTCGATCCAGCTGAAGACGCAGGCTGACAGCTCCTGGAAGCTGGCCACGGAGATGGAGGCGTTGAAGGACTGGAACAGCGAGTCCATGATGCCCTGGAACACGTTGAACTTGACCTGGTCGGAGACCTGGTCCTTGCCCTCGTGGGGGTTGTTGCGATGTGCCTTGACAATCTGCTCATAGTTCCTGAAAGCAAGGTGTGGCTCAGCCGCCAGGGGGCGCCCTGGAGCAGGAGGGCACTTCCCAACCACCGGTGGGTGCAGGGCAGGAGTTTCCCCTGGGCCCTATCTGACGTGATCTTTGAAGGGGAGCCCTGCGTTCCAGTGGCCCACCCTGAGTAACCCCCTTACACTTTCATGATCTTAAGGGCTGTGACATCCTTTCGGAGCGTGGACACCTCCTCCTCCTGCTTCTTTTTCTCCTTGTGCAGAAACTGGATGTAGTCGATGGCTGGGGCAGGAATAGAAGTGTCAAGCGGGAAGCCTAAGGCAGAGCGGGCCCCCTACCTCCGACCCCCAGCCCAGCCCCTCTGTACTCTTCTGCAGGACGATGGCCTTGCTGAGCTTCTGGGAGCCAATGGAGAAGTCCTGCTGCTGGCAGGTGGGGACGATGGTCTGAAGGTCATCATATCCTCTCTGCAGACACAGTGGGACCCTCAGGAGGGGTTCTGAGGAGGACCTATGTGTGCCCTCTGAGGGCACAGGGACTCAAAGGGGCCAGTGCCTCCCTGTCACCTTGATGGCATCCCTGCGCTTCTGCTCGGCCTGCGTGTGTGCCCGCCGCCGCCGATCCTTGTAGGACTCCTTGTAGGACTCCTGCTGGTAGTCACTGTCCTCATCATCTACATGCAGAGTGGGGGGCAGGTAAAGTCACCATGGGACCCTGCCTGGAGGAGACTGGCGCGGGATGGAAAATGGCAGAGTCTGACACCGGGGAGGCAGAGCTGGCTCTGGCCTTGGGCTCTGGCTCCGTGGGTGGACAGGAGGCTCCTGTCTGGTATGGACATTATAAGGATGCAACCTCGTGTGACCCTGCAGCTGTGCTGCTGGCAGATGCCCACCTGTGTTGGGGACAGAAGAGGCACTGGTGGAGCCGATGCTATTAGCCCGGGACACCACGCTCCCTTTGCGGACACTTTCCACAAAAAGCCCTGGAAGAGAGGCACGGTCGCTAAGGAGTCGGCTGGGACCTGTGCACCCTACACGCCGCCGCTGGCTCCCACTTCCTCCACACTATGCTCCAGTGCCCTCGACCCCAGCGTCCACTCTGCTTCCTGGCCTGCAGGCGAAGCCTGTCACTCGCCAGGGGGAACGCGGGTGGAGGGAGGGACCGCTGTCACCGCCGGTTGCCTCCAGGCTCACGGCAGCGCGGCCCGGTGGTGTTTCGGGCCTCGGCCTAGGCCTCTGTGCTTGGCGGGGCCCCGGGCTCAGCCGCGGACTGTGCTCGGGTGTGGCCACAAGACCTGCAGGCGGCCGTGCCCGGCGTCCCCGCGGCGCGCGGTGGGCACTCACCGGGGTCCAGGCTGGTGTCGCTGAGGGTGCACTCCACCTGCGCACGGGCGGGGGGCGATTATCAGGCTGCGCTTGCGCGCTCCCGAGAGCCCTAAGGGAAGGTCGCAGGCCACACCCTGCCCCGCCCCGGGGTCTCCCACATGGGCGCGCGCAGGAGCAGGGCCCTCTCTACAGCCCCGCGACGCAGAGGGCAGGGAAACTCGAGGGAGCCCCTCGTCGTCCCAAACCCCCACGCGCACGAGCCCGCCGCGCCCTCCCTTCGCGGACGTGCGCGACCCTGGGGCTTGCCTTGACCCAGGGGTCCTCGGGAGAGGCACCAGGCTCTGTCATCGCGGATTGACCCCGCCGGACCGGAAGTCCGCACGGTGCGCCCACGTGACCCAACTCTGCCAATCCGCGAGCCCCAGATGGGGGCGGGTCGAGGATATCGCGCATGCGCATTCGGAGGCGCCCAGGCGCTCAGGCTAGCGCCCCTCGTATCCACGGTGCTGAACCGACTTGGTGTTGCCGGTGAGTGTGAGGCCTCGGCCCCCTCCCCAGACCGGAGAACCTGGGCCTGTGTCACCACTGCTGCAGGCCGGCACACTAGTGCTGGCGGAGGCAGGTATGGCCCTAAGCGCCTTCCGGCACGGTGCGGGGCAGAAAACAGGCAGCACACGCGGCTCGGGGCGCATCCACCTTTAATTCCGTACCGACCTCGCCTCCCCAATCCGCCAGCGCGCCGCGGACACTGGAGAGGCTCCGAGGCCCGGGCTTCTCCCACTGCCTGGCCTCACGCGGCCCAGCGGGGTGGGGATAGGTGTGCCTCCGGAGTCCCGCCCGGCCCCGCCAGCGGCGGCTGCTGCCTCCTCGGATCGGGCTTTCCGGGCCCTCCAGTAGCAGTAGCTCCGGGAGCCACCGTGACCCCACAAGTCACACAGTCAGTGCTAGGTGCGAAGAGTCTCGGGCAGGCGCTTCTGCAGGAGATCCCAGGCTCGTTCCACCTTCGGACAGCCCAGATGTTAAAGGAAGGACTGACAAGGTCAGGCAGGCAGCCCCAGACCGCCTTGCCCCACGCGGCCACCACCTGCTACCAACCTGCTGCTGGGTGACCTGCGGCTCCCACAGGGTGCTGAGCACCACGTGGCTCTGCTCCACCATCCGCTGCCCGCTCATCTGGCTCTGTAGCCGGCTGTTCGCGGCAGCCTCACTCAGCCCATCCCGCTCCATGATGCGGCGCACAGCCTGGACACAGATGGGCAGGGTCAGGAGGGTCCAGGTTCTGCCTTGAGATCTGACCTGCACATCTGTCCCGGGGGACAGCCTGGGCACAGCCTGTGCGTGCATACCTCAGTCTCCGGGATGACCACGGTCCACACCTCGTGCACCATGTCCTGCCATCCAGCTTCCAGCAGCACAGCAGCATCAATGACACACACCCTCTTCCCTGGGAGATGGGGGCTGTCACTGCCAGCAGCCTCCCCCATCCCAGCCCTGGGAAGGCCTACCACAGCCCCACTGCTCACCCTGGGCCACAGCCACGTCCATCTCTTCTCGTGCCAGCATGGCCATCACTGGCCACATGATGTCCGTGAGGACCTTCAGCTGCTTCTGTGAGGGACGGAGGGAGCAAGCAGAGGTGAGGGCCCTGAGCTAGAGCCAGCTCAGCAGATGAAACGGTGCCACTGGTGCTGAGGAGCCCGGGGAGCAGTACTCACCTTGTTCCCGAACACCCGGCTGCCCAGGACCTTCCTGTTGATGAGTCCATCTTTATAGAGAATGTCTGGCTGACACAGGAGGGGGACAGAGCTCAGGCAAAGCCACTTCCCGGCTTCAAATCACCTGCAAGCTCCCCTAGTCCTTACCTGTTCCAAAGGCCTCCACCACAGGCTGGTAGGCAGGGCCGCCTGGGGCATATGCCCGATGGCCTAGCTGGTCACTATCGATGACATATGCCCCCAAGCTCCTCAGCCTCTGAGCTATAGAGCTCTTCCCAGAGCCGCTGATGCCCGTCAGGCCAAGCACGTAGAGACAGGCGGGGAGTTCTGGCCTCTTCTGCAGGTGGGTGATGGGACATTGGCTCAGGCTTGGGGCCGTAGCCCTCCAGGCATGAGCAGGAGGCCCAGGGGTGGGGAAGCTTACATTTGGGGGCCGAAGTAGGGTGCCCAGCATTCTTTGGCGCAAGCTGGAGGAGCTGACTTTGTCTTCTTCATTTTCTTTGTGATTTTGGTCCTTCAGCAGCTGAATCTGGTACAGGGCCAGCTCCTCCAATCCCTGTGGGAAACAGGGCATAAACCCAGACCCCCAACCTGCCCCAGGTTCCTCCAACTCATCTAGGATCCCATCGTCCTAGATTTTTCCCACCACCCTCCACCCTTGCTGCCCTGCTCCTCCCCTCCCACTCCCCAGCCCATCTCCCACAGGGGTTACATGCTCCAGGCGGAATCGGTTGACGGCCATCCCCCCACGATAGGTCTCCTCGCTGACCACCAGGAACTGCAGCAAGGGGTCAGAGCCCGCGGGCCCATAGGGGTCCAGCAGTGGGATGATATCAAAATTCAAGGAGGGTTTGATGTCCACCAAGAACTCACTCAGGTGTTCCACGCGGTCAGCGTAAGTTTGGAGCAGCTCAGGGAGCACCTTGCCTGGGGGAGGAGTGTAGCAGTGAGGTCTTTTTACTGGGGAGCAAGTGTTCCCAAAGACAGAATGACAGGTGAGGCTGAGTGGCACCTGGTGGGCTGCCAAAGCCGGCCCCGCCCCCGCCCACGGTAACCATACACAAGCTGCTTTGGGTTCCTGGTCAAAGGGAAGAATGACAAGAAGGTTCGAGTGGGGATGAAGGAAACCAACAAGCACTGTGGTTGCTGCAAGGCTGGCCTATGTCCTGAGAAGCTGCCACACAGTCATGTCAGAGCCCTGCCAGAGCATGACAGATCTGAAACCACAGAGTCCTGGAGTCCCCTCTCTGGCACTCACTGCTCCTACAACTCATGTTCATGGACCTGGTGTCTCTAGAGCCCGTGACCTGCATGAGGTCAAAGTCCAGACTTCTGGGGCACAGAGAACTGTATCTGCTCCTTTACTAAAGTGTCCTCAGCACTGGCCAGGCGTCAGACATGAGGACAGATGGCCAGGGAGTAGTGGCCCTTCTTCCTCGACCCTGCAAGGACGCGGGGAGCTTCTCACTCACTCTTCAACAGGTCCTTGTCCGCCACTCCCACTACCAGCTGCTCCTGGGCCAGGACGCAGGCGACGCTGAGCAGCACTTTGTGCGCGTTGTGCAGGCGGTCGAAGGTGCCACCCACGGCTCCGCGCTGGTAGCCCCGCACGGGCTGCTTTGGGGACCTGGTCACAGGGGACGCAGGCCTGATGGTGGAGGGCGAGGGGACATCCAGGGGCTCCGCGGGCAGCTCTCCGGTCCCGTGATCAGGGCACAGCAGCACGGACGACAGCTGCGGGGCACAGCTGTAACAGCTGGTGGCGTAGCGCTCCAGCTGCTGCTTCACCGGGTTGTACTGGCTACCGTCGCGGGTCTGGAAGTCAGTGAGCACCACCTCGGGCGGGTGTGCCAGGTTCTGCACCGACACAGCGGGCGCGGGCGGCCGGGCGCTCTTGGCCTGCACGTTGGTCAGCAGCACGCGCACGTCCAGGCCGCGGTGGCGATCGGCGCCCGCGTAGAGCAACGAGAGGACGTCGAGGACCTCGAAGGTTGCGGGCACCTGACCAGGCTGCGGCTGCGGCGGGCTCTCCAGGCTCAGGTCGGGCTGCAGGTGGACGTAGAGCGTGCGGTTCACCAGGCGCGCGGCCGAGCTCAGCAGCGGAGCCAGGCGCGGAGCCAGCGCGGGCAGCGGCGCCGTGAGCACTAGCAGGCCCGAGCGGAAGGCAGCCATGGTGCCGGGTCTGCAGACAGCCGGGGACATGGAGCGACAGTGAGTTACGGCGAGCAAGGAGCCCCGGCCCGGAGGAGGGGCGGCGCGGCGAGGAACTCTGGACAGGAACCCGCCTGAGTCACAGCGCCGGGGCCCATGAGTCCCGGGCGGCCTCGCTCAGCTGCACTGGGGTCCCGGAGGGCGGGAAGGGGGTCCCTACTCTCACCTGACCGCTACTCACCGAGCCCTCCGCGCACCACCCGCGAGACCCGGAAGCACTGTTTCAGGGCTCGCACTACAGAAAAGGAGAAGGGTCAGACCTTTTAAATGCGGTTCGCAGCGCAACTCTCGCGAGAAGCTTCTTGGGGGTGGAGTGTGGAAGCGTTGATGATGCAAAAGGATATCTGGGTCCTAGCTCCTTGCCGACTTCCTAGGAAGGCGTGCTAGGGTTACCGATTCTTGGGCTCCTTTGCAGAGAAAGGACATTGAGTCCGGCCTGGGCATCCAGAGCCCTTGAAGTGCTGGAGACGGGGCGCGAGCGTCCCGGAACCCTCGCGGCCGGAGGACATCACGGGGGCGGATGTCACAGAGACAACTGAGGCTGGAGCTGGAGTCTCAGGTCTCCGGGTGGTATGAAGCTAAGCAGCCCGCAGAAAACGTTTCGGGCCAGATGTGGTGCACGCTGGTGCTTGCAGCTGCTCGGGAGGCCGAGGCAGGAGGATCACGAAGTCAGAGTCTGGGCAATATAGCGAGACCCTCTCCCAAAATTTACAATAAACATTAAAAAGAGCTGGGATGCAGCTAAGGGGTACAGTGTTTGCCTAGCATGTGCGAGACCCCGATGTTCCCCAGTAATGCTAAACAAAAACGAACAAGAAGACATTTCAGGTAACTGATTTTCTGCGGTCACCTCAGGAGATAAAGAGGCCCTCAAGATCCCAGTAATAGGCTGTAATGAAAAAATGCCCACCTTGACACCATTTTGGGTTTTTTTTTTTTTCCGTTTTCGTTTTCATCGGTACCAGCTATTGAACTCACGACTGCCTGCTTGCAAGGCAGGCGCTTATGCCACTGAGCTAAATCCTCAGCCCTAATTTGGGGGTTTTTGTTTTGTTTTTGGGAGCACTGTGCTTGAACCCAAGGCCTTGTATCTGCACTCTTGCACCATTCTTGAGCTACAACCACAGCCTCAACAGTCTCCATAAGTATGTGGGGCCACAGTCATTCACCACGTGCCCTGGCTTCCCTTCTTTTTTTGTTTGAGATGTTTGTAGCCCAGGCAGGCATCAAACTCCCAGTGATCCTCCTGCCTCAGCCTTCTGTGCTGGGATTGCAGGGGTGTGCACCACCACACACAGCTTGATTTTGTTTGGTGAGGATAGGAACTGAACCCAGTGGCTGCTCAGCCACATCCACTGGCCCTGTTTTAATTTTGAGACAGTCTTGCTAACTTGCCCACATGCCTTGCATGAATCCAGCCCCGGCCCCTTGAGTACTGGGATTGCAGGGCCACTGCATGGAATTGGTTCTGCCTTTCCTGAAGAGGGCATCCAGAGTACATGAGCTCTCAGCCACTAAACCTGCCTGTGGAGCCAAGGCTAAAGACTAAGGCATCAGGTTCTTTGCAGGACACATTATAATTGGAATTTAAGGAGAGGCTTGAGCCAGGCTGCAGGCTGAGTCGGGGATCAAGGTTCCTGCCTAGCCTGGGAAGTTTTGTGTTTTATTTGGAGAGAAAGGGACAGAGAGACATAGAGACTGAGAGAGGAGGGTAGGAGAGAGGAAGACAGAAGAGACGGTAGTACCAAGCAAGCTTCATTTATTTGAAAGTAAATCAGCAAAGGTCATTAGGCAGTGTCCAAAGCACTGGTGTGGTTTTGTCTGCACAGTAAATGTTATCTGCAAGCTGAGGTCAGCTTGGGCTGTTTAGTAAATTCAGGGCCAGCTTGAACTGCATACCAGACCCAGTCTCAAAAAAAAAAAAGGCAACAAAGAAAACTCCGTGGGAGGAAGGAGCCACCCTGCAGGGCAGGGAAGGCTGGTGGTCAAGGGCAACAGCAAAGATGTGAAGAAGCGATGGAATCAGGTTAGGGAAAGGTGAACCACAGATCACAGCCAGTGCAAAGGCTTTGAGGCGGGGGTGGGGTGCCTACCTGGGTAAAGATGAAGTGTTGAGGGTGGAGAGGGCAGAGCCAGCTAGCAGAGGTCGAGGCACCTTACGGAAACCTTGGATCCTATTCAGTGAAGAAGCTGCTGGAGGAGTTTAGGGCAGAGATGCGATCAGAATTTTTGTGTGTGTGAGACAGGGAGGCCAGGCTGACCTCAGACTCGCAGCAATCCTCCTGCCTCAGCCTCCCAAGAGCTAGGATTATAGGAGTGCACCTCCATGCCTGGCAGACTTTCGTTTCTTGCAATGCCATTCTGAGTGCACTGTGACTATTGCCTGGACAGATGGCATCAGGAAACCAGTGTGGAGGCTGCTGTGGTAGTCAAGTGGAGACGGGGCAGCAGTGACTCAGGGCGTTCTGGAGACAGAGGGAGGCAGTGTGGACAGAGTGGGTGAAAGGAGCAGTTGAGTCATACTGCAAGGGTTTTGGAAAAGGGAGGAATCTGGAGAAGTGGGGAAGATGGAAGGAGGGGCAGGTGCCCCGATTGGAATTAGATGCTTGGTTGGTTTCATTTAGCATCTCCTGTGAAACCCAGCTTGTATCCTCCTGCCTTAGCCTCCCGCTTGCCAGATTACAGGTGTGCACCATCATGCCCTGCTAGGAATTGGGAACTGGAAGGCACCACAGCTGAGTGGACAGGAGGAGATACAAACCTGGGGGCTATCAGCATGGAAATAAAGGCACAGTGGTGTCTACCTGTAATCCCAGCACTTGGGAGGCTGAGGCAGGAGGATTGCTATGAATTCAAGGCCAACCTGGGCAACATAGCAAGACCTTGCCTCAAGAAAGAAATGATACCTGAAGCCATGCAACAGTGTGAAGCTATGGTGAATATGAACCTGTGACACGGGGGCACCCCCTGGCACCCACGCTGTGACCTTGTGATCCTACAGGGCCAGCTGGGGACGGGGCAGGTTTCAAGCCTCAGAATCTCCAGCCACGCTGGCCTCGGGGCTTCCTGGAAACAACAGGAACAGCAGGGCACGAGGGCAGCGGGCAGGGAGCATGGCAGGGGCAGGTGCAGAGGTCTTGTCTCCAAGGACGCAGAGCGCGGTAAAAATGTCATTGTGCTGCCCTTACCACTGCTCACCCACCCCGGAATCCTGCTGCCCCTTCTCGCCCCCAGCCCTGCCTCTCCTGTCACTCCTGCCAGGGAGTGGGGACGGCTCAGGTCTCCCGCAATGTGCCCTTGAAAACAGGGAAGGAGGACAAGCCATGGGCAGTGCAAGTGGCCCTGGACCCTGACCAAGCATCTGGGGAGCACTGTGTGGTCAAGCAATGTGAATAGTTACACTTTTTTTGTTTGTTTTCTCTCTCTCTCTCTCTTTTTTTTGGGGGGGGTTTCTTTTTTTTGGTTTTTGAAGACAAGGTCCCAATTGTGTAGCCCAGGTTGTCTTGGAACTCACAGAGATCTTCCTGCCTCAGCCTCTCAAGTGCAGGAATGACAGGTGTGCACCGTCACACCTAGAGGTGAATTGTGACAGTTTTTGGTTTTTGTTTTTGTTTTTTTCATTTTTATTGGTACCAGGGATCGAACTCACGACCGCACACTTGTAAGGCAGGCGCTTATGCCATTGAGCTAAATCCCCAGCCCTGAATTGTGAGTTTTAAAAACATTACAGTAGAAGATACAATGCCATGAACGCCCCTCAAAATCCTCCTCCTCGCTTCAAACACTCACCCCAGTGTTTTGGCCACTTTCTGCAGCAAGTTGAGACTCCCCTGCCCTGTGTATCGTTAGTACTGTCGCAGTAGCAGCCTCAACGTCCAAGACACTTCCCTTTCAGAGTCACTTTGACTTTAGGAAAGAGCCCAAGGTGCAGGTGCTGCTTTGGTGAGTAGGGCCCTCGAATCATGGTTTTACGCGCTGCCTTTCTCTGGGTGGCACTTGGCAGCAGGGCGCACTGTATTTTCCAAAACTGCTTCCTAAAGCGATGGGATGATGAGTATGAGACAGGGGAGAGGCTTCTGTGGGGATCACGGCAGTGTGTCTCTTAATACATAACGCATGTTTTAATTTAACCATTCACCGTGTATTTCCATCAAACCGTGCCCCCTCCTTTCTATTCAGGGGAGCTACACTCCTCTACAACCCTGGCCAGTAGGGGAGGGTCCCAGGAGTCACGTACTACAGAAACGGTAACTGCAGCTTTATTTATTTTTTTCTTTTGTCTTTTTCGTTTTTATTGGTACCAGGGATCGAACTCACAACTGCCTGCTTGCAAGACAGGCGCTTATGCCGCTGAGCTAAATCCCCAGCCCCAAACTGCAGCTTTATTAGCTCAGGGTTTTTTGTTTTGTTTTGTTTTGTTTTGTCTTTTTGAGACAGGGTCTCGCTATGCAGTTCAGGCTGGCTTTGAGCTCACTTTGTAGCCCAGGCTGGTCTGGAACTTGCAATCCTCAGCCTCCGGAGTGCTGGGATTAGAGGTGTGAGCCACCACGTCCGGCAATTTCAGGTCTTTCTGCAGCTTAAGAGCTAGGTCACAGGGGACACCGATCAGAGGCGTGGACAGCCGTTTCGGGGGCGGCATCCGGCTCAGAGTCCCCAGACTGCATGGCCCCGGGATCGGCAACAAAAACAGCGTGGTGCATCGCGGCCACATAGCTGCGGCCGCTCGGGTCGTCGAGACGCAGGCGCGCGAGGGGCAGGAAGCGCTCGGTGCAGAAGTAGCGCAGGGCCGGCTGCGGGGCGTGCAGAGCGGCCATGAAGACCTGAGGGTAAGGAAGCAGGGGTTGCGTGGGGTGGAGCCTGCTGTGAAGATACCCCTAGCCCAGGCCACGCCCAGGCCCTCGCCCACCTCCGCCACCTCTTCCGGGTCTTGTGCTTCTCGAGCCACCCGCTCGCAGTGGCGCTGGTAGAGTGAGAAGAGGTGGCGTGTTCGGGCGTCAGCCTGGTCCAGCGCCCCGCCCAAGCCGCCTTCCAGCTTCTCGTAGAAGGCGGTGTGCACCGGGCCGCACTCAATGAGGCTCACGCTGGGGCGATAGGTGACAGAGCTGGGCAAGGCGGCGGGTGGGCGGTGGGAGCCGACAGCCCGTGGGGCCCATGAGACCCTTGGGACCCGTGGGATAGGAAGCCACCCAGCCCCGCCCTGCCCCCAGAGTCGCTTCCGCCCAATGTAGCGGCATCGGTGCCCTAGGTCAGGTCCCAGGGGCCGGGCAGGGGAGTGACTCACTGGACCCCGAAGGGCAGCAGCAGGACCGCCAGGCTCTCGCACAAACCCTCGAGCGCGAACTTGCTTGCACAGTACACGGCGTTGAAGGGTATCCCTGGCGGGCGATCGGGTTTGCTGAGGCAGGCCCCGCCTACCATGTAAACCCGCCCACTATGCCACGCCCCTCCCAGCTTCAGGCCTCAACTGGTCCCAGACCGGGCGGGGCACTATAAGCCCCGCCCCTAGCTGTCTGCTCTTGGATTGGGTGTGGCCAGTGTATGTCATACCTCAAGACCTCGCCCCTCATGGCTTTCTGTGCCTTATCCTCGGTTGGGCGCAGCCCACGCAGGTCTCCAACCCCTAACCCCTATAGAACCCCCACCCCATCTCCCAGCCGCCAGCAGCTCCGCCCCAGGTGGGCGTGGCCTGCTCGGAGCACCCTCCTCACCCATCAGGCCGCCCATGCTCCCGGTCACCAACACGCGTCCTGAGCCGCGTCGCTTCATGTCTGGCAGGAAGGCCTGGACTGTCCGCACGGTCCCGACCACATTCACGTCCAAAATAGAGCCCACGGCACCCGGCCCGTGCCCCTCCAGCGGCCCTAGCAGCCCGCGTCCAGCGTTGCACACTGCAGTAGAGCAGGCTAGGCGTCTGGCCTGTCCTCTGCTGTCCCCGCTGTCCCCAGGCAGGAGCACACGCGCTCCAAGGAGGCTCACCCAGCACATCCACGCGGCCTTCAGTCACGCGTGCCCGGGCTGCAGCCACCGAGTCCGAGTCCCTCACGTCCAGCTCCAGTGTTTCCAGGGACTCAGGAGGGCAGCGCCGGGCCCGGGCCGCCTCCCACAGCGTGCCCTGCGCTGCCAGATCCCGCATGGTGGCATACACTGCAATGGGGACAGGGTCAGAGGCCTTGGGGACAGCCCACCCTACCGGGCGCCCCCATCCTGTACCTTTGAAGCTCCGGGACGGGTCCGAGGCCAGGCGGACAGCCAGGTGCAGGCCGATGCCCGAGGAGCAGCCGGTGATGAGCACCACGGTGCGCGCGGCAGGGTCCATGGTGTGGGACTCAGCTCTGCAGGCTGAGCTCCTGATATCCCTGTAGCCCGCCCAACCCCCCCCCCCCCCCCCCCCCCGCTCCCCGCCCCGTGTTGTGTCTACCACAATCTCAAGGCCAGCCTCCACTGGGCCCTGGGCATGGCCACCCAACCAGTTCTGGGTCAAAGTGGACAAAATCTTGGAAACCCTAACCTAGAACTGTCCTGGCTGTGGGTGACTTTAACCATGTGTGGGGTCCCACGGGGGCAGAGCACCCACTGCGAGTCTCTGTCCAGAAACCAATTATGGGTGCTCAGGTTTGCTGCTGTGCTGTGAAAGGCCACTGTTCTCAAACACCAAGCATATGAAAAATGCAGAAGCTGAGGCACAGCTGGGAGAACCCACTCCACCCCAGTGGACCTCACAGAGGGCACTCAGTTGACTCCTTCCGACAGATCAGTCTGACTTGGCGGTTTATTTTTTTGGTACTGGGGATCGAACTCACAACCTCACGCTGCCAGGCAGGGGCTTGTGCTGCTGAGCTGAATCCCTGGCCCGACCTGGCAGTTTATGGAAGTGAGAGGAAGCAACTTTATTCCCAACCTCGGGGTGGCAGTGGAGGGTGGCTCATGCCCCTCTCAGTGGCCCTGCACCCGAACCAGGCCTGGGTCCTTCCCCAGGCCCAAGGTCCCTGAGATGCTAGTGCAGCTCTGGGCCGAGGCCCCAGAAGATAGCTCTATGGTGTCACTGTCAGCTGGCTCGGGCCACCCTATGGGGGGCGAACCTGAGGAAGACCTTCCTGGCCAGGTCCACAGTGTCACCCTGCGGCTGGCTTCGGTACCTCCGGCTGCTCAGGACAAAGGCTTGTTCCAGCAGGAAGACATCCTTGTCGAACTGGTGCTGCTGGAAAGGGGCAGCCCTGGCAAGGCTGTCGGCCAGTGACTCTATGAAGAGCTGCCAGCGGGGCGCGTAGTAATGGGCCACCAACCCCGCCAGCTGCTTGTTGGCATAGTCCAGGATGTTGCCTTCTGGCCCCCACAAGGTCAGCTGGTAGCGGCTGTTCTGCTCGTACAGTCTGGCCTCGGTCTCACTTGCAGCTGCTGCCCGGGCCTGCGCCAGCCAGCTGCCCAGCAGAAAGTGGTGGTCGCTGGCCAGCACCTCATCCAGTGCAGGCAGGAGCTGGTAGGCCAGGACACCCCCAGCCCTCAGCAGCCCCGCCAGCTCCTGGTGCAGGTAGGCAGCCCGCACCTCCTCGTAGTACAGGCTGACCAACTCCTGCAGTGCCTGCCGGGTGACATCCAGCAGGTCATAACGGAAGGTCGGGCTGGTGGTCAGCTTGGGTGAGGCCTTGAGCAGCAGTCGCCAGGCCTCAAATACGTCCGATCGGTTGTACCAGACAGCAGTGTTCATCTGCAGGGACGGCCGCCGGACCAGTGGGCTGTGGTTGTGGCCACGGCACGCTTCCCCGGAGCAGTTGTAGACACTGCGGAGCAGGAGTCTCCAGGCGGCCTCGGCATCTGGCTGGGCCACCCCATAACGCCGTTCTGCGAAGCGGCTCACCCAGGCCAACAGATCTGGCACGGGGTCCTTCCGCCAGCCCAGCTCTGCCATGAGCGCATAGACCACCTCGTTCTGGCCGATGCCCTCTGGTGTGATGCCTGTGCCCACCATGGTTGAATTGGGGAAGAGGCGGGCGGCTGTGGGGCCTCGGTTCACCGCCTCCAGGGCCCCGAAGAGGCCATGGTTACCACCAAAGTTATGTAGCATACACCAGATGAAGGGCTGGCCCCGGAAGGAGGCTGTGCGGGTGTAGACTGGCTGGCTCTCAGCAAACAGGTCCAGAACCAGCAGGCGGCCCTGCGGCACCGCCCCCAGCACCGCTCCAACCTGGGCCGGGCCCCAGAACTCAGGCTGGTGCTGGAAGAGCCAGCCCTGGAGCAGCCACACAGCGTCAGAGTCCACTGTGGGGGAAAGTGGGAGGGGGGAGGGGAGATGATCAGCCCAGGCCACAGACAGGAAGCCAGAGTCCCTCCAGCCGCCCACCTGCAGACACCAACACAGCGCCAGCCCTGTCCTGGTGGCTCCCAGCTGAGTGCACCTCGACAGCCTCATGGGCAGGTGCACTACCTGGAGGAGGGTTAACACCTGCAACCCCAGCACACCAAGAGCTGAGCAGGAGGATCACAAGTTCCAGCCCAGGCTGGGCAACTTAACATGACCACAGTGTCAGGAGCAGTGGCTTTGGGAACTGCTCAGGGCTAGGGGAGTCCTCGACACAGCCCACGAAAAAAGCTGGAGCATGAGATGATGCCCCATGCTGCCTCTGGGATCTGCCCACGGGAAGGCACCCCAGCAGCGACCCTGACCCTCCATGCCCAAGTTAAACAAACCTCTGCTGTGTGCTCCCTGGCCCCAGGTGCCTGGTTGCATCGGTCCCCCCACGCCCCCGCCAGCCCTGTGGACCCGGCAAGAGGAGCCCCAACCGTGCCCAAGCCTCAAGGGGAAGGAGGAAACCTCAGAGTTGCAGTTTCTAAGAGCCAGCCCCCCTGCACCAGCCCAGGCACCGCACCTGCAACCATGGCCTTAAACACAGCCTCAGTGGCAGCGGCCAGGTAGGCAGGGTCAGAGGAGGGTGGCTGCATCTCGTTGAAAGTGTCAGCCCCATAGATGTGGTTGGTGCCGAACTCCCTGATCAGCTCCCGCAGGAAAATGCCCCCAATGAGGGGAAAGAGAGGGTCTTCCGGAGCCAGAAGGAAGGAGCAGGAGTAGGAGCAGTTGAAGTGTCCCCAGCTGCCCAGCTGGGTGATATTGACCTGTGGGAACACCCTAGTGGGGAGCAAACAGTCAAGTCACATCATGGCCTGTGACCCCCAGCAGCCTCACTCACAGTGCCCAGACGCAGCTAGGTTCTCATGCCCCAGGGCTTTTTAGGTGCCAAGGCCCCCTTGCTTTGTGTGTGCATGTTCTACACCATTCTGTGACAGTTGCCTGTCTACAAAGCTTCTGCTTGCTCTGCCTCTCCCCCTGGCTGAACGAAGTCTCTCTCCTCCCTTGTCTGAGCTGGGTCTAACAGCCGAGCACCTCCTGGCCACTTGCTGATGTCCGGTGCTGAGTCACACACACACTGAGGTAGCTCAGCAGGGACACTGAGGCACAGGTCGGGCAGTGGCCCAACCCAGGCCTCCGCGGCGACCTCAGGGTTCCTTTAAGTCCTGGCTTACAAGGGCTGATGTCCCCGGGCAGCCTCACCTTCCGATGGCCTTGGGGACGTGCCCAGCGAAGGCGGGCAGCACGGGAGTCATGCCCAGCGCCCGCATGCGGTCCAGGATCTGGTGCTGGGAGGAGGGTAGCCAGTGAGCTGGGCCCGGGTCTGGGCCCAGGCCCAGGCGGCGCCCAGCCCACCATCCCCGCCCCACCGCTGGGTACCTGCAGGGAGAGCTGCTTGAGGTGCCAGGTGCGGGGCAAGGGCCCGCCCCAGCCATGTAGGTTGCCCATGCGCCCCCAGGCCAGGAAGGCCGGGCCGGTGAAGTGCTCGTCAATCTCTGCCTGGGTCAGGCCCAGGGCCAGGTACACCTGGGGAGCAGGGAGGCACACGTCCGACTCCGCAGCACTGCGCGCACTGAGGAAACGCCCACTCACGCATGTGCACTCATGCACCGCCTGGTGCCAAGGCCCCCCGCCCAGGTCCGGGGAGCAGGTGGGCTGCACAGCTGGGCTCTGAAGGCTGCTGAGCCTCTGTTCTGTGGGCCTCAGGCCGCACACCCTGACCGTGTGGCGACACACACACCCGCTGCCAGATGGCCTCCTGGCCGCTCCAGGCCAGGGCCAGGTTGATGCCGTTCAGCGCCATCCAGTCGATCTCCCGCTCCCAGCGCGGCCAGTCCCACCAGACGAAGGAGTAGCTGTGCGTGCACACGTTCTGGTAGTAGCGGTACCTGAGGGTGGGCAGCGTCTCAGTAATACGCAGTCTAGGTTTTATTTATTTATTTATTTATTTATTTTGTCTTTTTCGTTTTTATCGGTACCAGGGATCGAACTCACGACCGCCTGCTTGCAAGGCAGGTGCTTATGCCGTTGAGCTAAATCCCCAGCCCCTAGGTTTTATTTTTTTGAGACAAGGTCTTGCTATGTGGTCCAAGCGGGCCTTGACACCACAATCCTCCTGTCTCAGCCTGCCAAGTGCTGGGATGATGCCTGCATCATTACACCTGTGTGACAGAACCTTTTGGGCACGTTGGTCCCTATCCAAGATAGCTCCTTCCCCTTCGATCCCGAGGCTGCAGAGGGGCGGGCATCGCTCCAGCAGCATCAAAGGCTGGGTAGAAACACACGGATCACAGCTTTGCACCAATCGAAGTGCAAACCCTGGCCACCTGCCCTGCACGCGGCTCTCTTCTCTGAGCACCTGATTTGGAGACCTCAGGCCCCCAGTGGGGAGGGCGGCGTCCCGTACCTGTAGGGCGAGGCCTCCGTCAGCTGTCCGGGAACCGGGGGCAGCGGTCGTGGCAGGCGCAGCTGAGCGCCCGACCAGGCCACATGGCAGCCGCAGAAGTCGCGCAAGTAGCTGTGCAGCCCGGCCGCCACCGCTACGCCTGAGGAGCCGCGCACACGCACTCGCGCGCCGCCGCCTCCGCCGCTGAGCTCGAAGACGTCGGCGCCGGGCCCGGCCGCCAGGGTGCGCTCCACCGACAGCTCAAAGGCGGCCGCGGGCCCGGGCCCCAGGAGGCGGACCGCGAGCGCGCGCACGGCCGCCGTCTCTCTCGCCTCGTCACGCACCGCGCCCCAGGCGCCCTCCCAGGCTAGGAGCAGGAGCACCAGGAGCCGCGGGAGCCGCAGCGCCTCCGCTGTCACCATGGTCGCAGCCCTCACTCGCGGACTCCGAGGGCGGGGGAGGGGAGATTAGAGAGGGCGGGACGCCCGAGGCCAATCAGCTTCGGACCTCGGGCCACGTGATCCCGAAGCCCGGCCTCTACGAAAGGCTCTGCTTCCGGGCTGGCAGGGCCCAGCGGGGTCTCGGGGCTGCGCTGTGCCACGCGCCTTTTCCGCACGTCGCTGCAGTCAGTCCCCGACCGCCCCTTAGTTGCGGGTGCATTTTTTTTTTCCTGAATGCCCCAGCCCACCCACTAAATATGTATTGGGACGTTTTCGAGTTTTGGTCGTACTAGGGTTTGAACCCAAGGCTTTTGCCCTTAGCTACGTCCCAGCCCTTTATTTTATATTTTGAGACAGGGTCTAAGTTACTGAATTGGCCAAGCTGGACTCCAACTTGCAATCCTCCTGCCTCAGTTTCTCTTAGTGTCGGATGACAGCCGTAGGCCCTATTTGATTTTGTGTCAGGCCCTGCAAAGGCACCCAGCCTGCTCAGCATCAGACGGTGGAGGAGGGGGCGGCCTTGCGTCCAGCATGGTTGGCAGGAGGCAGCAGGCAGAGCTGGGGTGCCTTTACAGGTCTGTGAGCATCTCGGCTTTTCCCTGCAGGGCGGGGTGCTGACTTGCATGTCCTGCAAACTGTATTTCTGTGAAAGGCCACGCTGGGCATGGTCGTGTGTGCCTGTAGCTTCAAGGTAGGCTTGAGCCCTGGGCAACACAGCAGGACTCCCCTCTCCCCCCCGCTGAAAAAACCAAAGGGTCATGGCAGCCAGTGTAATTTTGTGCTTAAGAAACCAAAAAAAGGCCAAGGATTTAGCTCAGTGGTGTAAGTACCTGCCTGGCAAGTTTGAGGTCATGTGTTCAATTACCGGTACCAGAAATAAAAACTAAAAAATCAGAAACCCCTTCTGCGGACCTGCTCAGTTGGGTCTTCATACTGTTCTGTCCTTTCGGCCCGTGTTGCGCTGTACTCCTTTCATTCCCGTCCCTGCCCTGGAACCCAGTGTCACCTGAATGCTCCCTCCGTGCCCAGCCCACCTGAGCCTGCCAGGCTTGTGCAGTGGGGAGGGGCCCTAGGGCTCTCCCCACTTTTATAGCAGAATAAGACCCATCTAATGGGGAGGCCCCTCGTCTTCCCCCTGGCAAATGGACATTTGGGCTGTTCCTAGTTGGGGGGAATTTCTTTACTTTGTTTGAGCAATGATATATAGTTACTCGGGATTTCTGGAGCTGTGTACCAGGAAGAAGGCATACAAATCGTGTCCTTTGTTCCCTCAGCAAGGCGTTTCCTTATCGTACAAAACGCATACTACCCAGCTAGTATCCACTCCACAGGTGACACCACCTCCAGCAGGCTTGGGAGCCACGCACACGCACTCGGGAGGCTGAGATAGGAGGATCACTGTGAGTTGAGGCCAGATTGGCCTACACAGCCAGACCCTGTCTCAGGAACAAAGAGAAAACACTGCCACATTCTAAGCCAGCTCTGAGTGTCTAGGAGCCCAGCTTTTGTGCCTCAGATACACGGCTTTGGTCCATGGAGCTTGCGTGGAACTATGGAGACCCAGAAGCACAGTCAGTGCTGGCGGGGTCCTCAGAGCACCTGTGACCTGGGGTGGGCTTTGAAACGTGATCTGCCCATGCACCAGACACTGGTGGCTGCTTCGGGACCCTGTCCCACCTCTGCCTGAGATCTGGGATGCTCAGGTGTCCCCTGGGGTCTCCATGACATCAGTCTCCCGCATCCTGTGTCTGGTAGGGGGAGTGGGGGTGACCCTGTGTGGGCACTGCTGACCTCATGCCCTCATATGGCTCCGTGTGTGACCTGAACCTGGGCGGCCCGGCCCTCTCCTGAGAGCTGCCCTTGTGGTGGCCCTGAGGCTGGGGCACCTATGCCTTTCCCCTGGGTAGGTACCAGGGGCTGGGAAGCCGCGTCCTTCATTGGTTTCATGTTTATTGTCTCTGGGAAGTGCACCCTCTTACAGGCAGGGAACCGGGCTCCGTCTGCTACCAGCCCGTGGTGTGGTCTTGCTCCATCCTTTGGCAGATGTATTTGGAGTCTGTGTGTGCATATGTGTCTTGTAAGCCTCTCCGTGTAACTTGGGCTGGCCTTGAACCCAACCCTCCTGCCTCTGCTTCTCCGTGTGGGGAATACAGGCTGCTCAGCCCTCCTGGCTCTTTACTGTGTGTTTTCATTTTTACTTCTGAGAAGGGCCTCCCTGCATAGCTGAAACTGACCTAGGACTATGTAGCCCAAACTGGCCAGAGCCTAGTGGCGACCCTCCTGCCCTAGCCTCCCTGGTAATGGGACAACAGGACACCTGACTAGATGTGCATTTTGTGCGATGACTGAAGATACTGAGCGTCTCTTCATGGTTTGTGCTCATCTATGTCACTTATTTGTACGATGTCTGTTTAATCCTGCCCGGCATAAAAAACCCCGGTGCTGGGGCTTGAAAGGATTTTAGCCCAGACGGGACACTGCAGCTGGTAAAGCCTTGGAGGCAGAACCAAGAGGCTCTATCTTGAGGTCATCTTCTCTGCCCCTAGGAATTTACCTGTGTCATGAAACGAATAGCAATGGGCTACCTGTGCATCACTAACGCCCCTCAGGCACCATCCCAAACCTAAGCTACATGTATGCCCTCACTCCACGTGTCCAAAGGAGAGAATGCCAGACCCCAGAGGGTCAGGGGGTCTCTCCCCACATTCTTAAAATAAAGGTCATTTATATCTCGTACTTATCTTTTCAGCCGCGCCAAAATTCTATCAGGGCTGGCAGCTTATCTAGGCTACAAATAATGATATATGGCCAGTTCTGCCCTCGTCCCAGGGCTGGGTCTGAATTCTGTTTTGTCCAAGAGCAGGGCATGCATGACTTTCCCTTCTTCACTGCAGTGGGGGGCATCACTGCCGCTCCCCAAGTGATTGTCCCGGACCCCCCCCCCCACCAGACAGCGTTGCTGCAGGGAGGGGCAGGGCCAGCCTGGTTCCTCTGCAGTCTGCAAAGGCCTCTCTGTCCTGTCCTGAGGCAGCCAGGGTAGTGCTGAGGACCTTATCTGAGCAGGCCACCTCGGGCGGGGAGGCACCCTCAGCATGCTGAGCCTGGAGGGGGTTTGGCTCGGGCTCACACCGGACCTCCCGCCTGGCACCCAAAGGCCAAGAGTGCGGGCTGGAAATAGGCAGAGCAGGGGGTGAGGCGCCCAGCCCCTGCCCGAAGGGAAGGAACGTGCAGCTGGGGGCGGCGCTCGCGCCTGCAGCATCCGCAGAGCCCCTGAGCCAAGGCGACAGGACAGTGGAGATAAGCCAAGGTTCCCAGGAACATGAACATTCGGCCTGGCCAGGGTCACGACAGGCGCAGCCTCCACGGCTGCTGGGAGGAGGGTGTGGGGCGGCAGCGTCCCTGGGAGTCTGACACACTTTATTGAGCACGGGTATGAAGGAAGGCGGGCAAACACAGCACCGGCCCGCGGGAACCGGGTGCCCCGCGAGCTGGGCAGGAGGACGGGTCAGGCCAGCCCGGCTGCTGTGCCGGCACAAGAGCCAGAGCTCGGGCCCGCAGCCCGCACTCTCAGCCCTGCCGTCCACAGACCCTCGGTGATGGTCGTTCCGCCCAGGTCACCAGGCCTAAGCCCTGCTGCCTGCCCTTGGAAGTGGGGGAGGGGGCCCCGGGGCGCTGCGTGGGGCTAGGACAAGACAGGACAAGACGGCAGAGCTGCGGGCCACCAGCGCAGCCCGCAGAGGAAACCACCAAGGGGCAGCCGGGGACTCGAGGGTGGCATCGGCTGGGTTTCGCGGGGGCGCTGGGTCTGGGGGCTCTTGGGGTGTGATAAATAAGCAGCGCCCCCTTCTGGGTAGAGCCTGTCTGCACCCTCCAACCCCGGCAGCAGCGGGAGGCAGCAGGAGGGGGGCAGGCCTGGCCAAGGCAGGGCTGCGCCTTCACGTGGGTTGAACACGCACAATTCATCACGGGGGCGGGGTGGGACGGGGTGGGACGGGAAGGGAAGGGAAGGGACGGGACGGGACGGGGCGGGGGGTGGGGTCCACGGCCTCTGGCTCACTCATCCAGCTGCCCTTCCCGAATGTGCTCGAAAGAGAAGGGCAGGAACTTGAAGCCGGTCCCGCTGTAGAATTTATTCTGGAACTCGACCCTGGCAAGAGGGAAGAAGCAGCCGTCATCGTGCAGAAGCGTTTTTAAAAAAACAATAGTACTGGGGGCCGAGTGTGGTGGCACAGGCCTACAAGCCCAGCACTACAGAGGCTGAAGCAGGAGGATCTCCATGATTCTACGGTGAGCTTGGGCTACATAGTAAGACCCTACCCCTAGGTAAATAAACACATAGCACAGGCAATGGATCCCAGGGCATGCGCACTGAGACACATGTCCAGCCTAGTTTCGAGTTTCAGGCAAGTTCTGGCAGAATCACTGAGTTGCCCAGGCTGAGTCTGAATTCCCACGCCTCCTCCACACCCGAGATGCCCCAGTGGCCGGGATTCCAGGTAGGCACCACTGCACCCGGCCCACAGAGACCTTCTGAAGCCCTCCGGGGCTCCAGGGTGCACCTGAGCCCATCTGCCCCCACACCCTCTGGCTCCCCAGTCTTTTCTGGAGGGAAGGCAGAGAGAAGTGGGTGGGCAGTGAATGCCCCAAAAGCCTGCAGTGCAGGGGAGGAATTCCCAGGAACATGGAAAGCCAGCAGGGGAAATCTTCCCAGCCTAGGACAAACACATGTTCCCTCCACAAACACACATGCCCGAGAGTTCCACTCTGGGGACTGAGGGGAGAATGGGGCACTCCCTCAAAGGCACACACTGCCCCTCGGGGAGAGGCACCCGCCCTGCCCTGTAGGGCTGCCTGCAGCCAGCACCTGCCCAAATACGGGCAGAAAAATGTATGCTCAGAGGAGAGGCTGGGGGAGGCCCGGCAGTTCCCACTGGCACTCAGCCGGCGCACCACAGCCTGAGGGGGGGAGAGAGAAGTGGGGTGTAGGCAGAGGTGGCTCTGCATCAGAGGAGGGGCTGGGCTCACTCTCCCAGTAATCCTAAGAGTCCTTTCTGCCAGCCCAGCCCGAGGCCTGCAGGGCTGGGAGTGGGCAGACAGGGCAGCACACAGGATGCTGGGCAAAGGCCAGCTGTGGTGGGCCTGCTGAGCTGGCTCCCAGCCTGGTTTACTGTGAGCGAAGGGGCAGAGGCTCTGCACTCAGGTGGCTGGGGTACGCCCCCCTCTGTACCCTAATGCTTCCTGACACCCGCACCCAGGCTGCAGAGGTGACAGTGTGAGCCCCACGCCACCCCTGTGTGAGCCCCAGCACCCCACTGGCTGCACACTCAGGAGCCTGGGTTACACCTGGGGCCCTCAGAGCACCCTGCAGGCTGCTCACCGCATGTCATCTCCTTGGTGCCCCCTCCGGTAGCAATGGGGAGTGAACCCAGTGCCTAGCCACACCCTGTCCCCCTGGTTTGATTTTGAGGCAGGGCCTTGAGAGGTCACCAGGCTGGGATTGCACACAGGGCCACCGGGCCAGCTTCCCCTGACCTGTCATGACTCTCTGAAGAGGCTCCCTCTTGCTTTGGACAGAAAGACCCAGGAGCTGTCTCAACTGAGTCAGGACACACCAGGGTGAGGGGCGGGATGCCTGTGTCACCAGCAGGGGGCGCAGGAGCTCAGCACCAGCCAGGCAGGTTCCCAGCGTTTTCCGGCACCCGAGGGCCTCCAACCAGGGCGCTTCGGAGGGAGGCGGCATCGTGTGCCTTTGGATTCTTGTGCCTGCTCCCCATACAGGCTGGGGTGTCACCCTCAAGAGCAGCCACTTGCACACTCAGGCACCTTCTCTGGCACTGCTCCAGAGCACAGTTGGGGAAGGGGCTGCCTGTGACAGCTGGGGCTCCTGGAGCCCAGGAGGCAACCTCCCTGAGGTCCCAGCCCACGTAGGGCAGCCCCCACCTGGTCTGGGGCCCGCAGCTGGGCATGAGGGCAGGAAAGAGTGAGTCACGTGGGGAGGGGAGGGTTGCAGGGAGGAAGTGACCCAGCAGCTGATAAGCAGGGAGTACCTGGCCCAGCCATGATAAACAAGCAGCCCTGTGCCAGCCTGCAGGGCCGGGTGACACCACAGGCCAGGGCACTGGCAAGGGCTTCTGGGTCCGAGTGGGGTTCCTCGGATGGGGGCTGCCCGGGGCTCCAGGCGACAGCTTGGCCCCTGGGGTGGGCCACGTGAGACCCTTTTCCCTGCGAGACACAGTGGGGCTGAGGGGTCCTTCAGAACTGTCTAGAGCTCCAGACTGAAGCTGGAGACCCCAGAACAGAGAGAAACTGCAATATAAAGCTGGGCACTTACACCTCAGCACAGAGGGGGCCGAGGCACAGGCTGGACAAAAGTCGGGACTCCAACCCAGATCAATGTGTGGGGGCTGGGGTGTGCTGGGCATTGGAGCAACCCTGGCTCCAGTACAAGAGCAAAAGGGCAAGGCAGGGCAGGAAACGAGAAGGGGTCTGACAGGAGGCAAAGTGGGAAATGCTCACTGGGACCACACTGGGGACTGTACCTATGAAGAACCAGCCTTCAGTGGCTGTGCTGGTGCTCGCCTGTCAGCCCAGGACTCAGGAGGCTGAGGCAGGAGAACTGCTGTGGGTTCCAGGCCAGCCTGGGCTACAGAGCTCCCCCAGGAGTCCACGGTGGGACGGGTGGGTCTTTCTGTGGGCCCACTCTGTGTGCCACTCACCAATGCAGACGCAGGGCGTGCAGGAAGGCGGACAGCCCCTCCATGATGAGCAGGATGGCCACGGTCAGCGTGGCGAAGGTGGCGAAGATGAAGAAGAGCGCCAGGCCCCCTGCCAGGCTCTTCACGCTCAGGCCCACGTGGATGACCATGGTCCACAGCACCTCGGAGAGCTCTGGGGGAGGCAGCCTGGTCAGCTTGGCCTAGCACAGAGGGGAGCCCGCAGCCTGGCCCTGGCCCTACCCGGCCCCGGCCACTCACGCGCGTGGGCCAGGCTGAGCGCCCAGAGCCGCAGGTAGGAGGCGGTGTTGGAGATGCAGCCCAGACAGTACTCAATGGTGTGGATGGCCTGGTGGACCATGGTGTCCCCAAAGTCGAACTGCATGGAGGAAGCCAGACAGGGGCCATCAGGCCGAGTGTACTATAGGCACTGCGGCAGCGCAGCGTGCAACCCCAACCTGGCTCATTTCCTGTTCTACTCTGTTCTGTTTGTTTGCAGTACTGAGAAGTGGAGCAGGGGTACAGCTCTCACACTAAGCTGCACCCCCAGGCCTGTTTTAATTTCTATTTTGAGACAGTGTCTAATTCACTAAACTGCCCAGGCTGGGCTAGAACTTGTGGTCTTCCTGCCTCAGCCTCCCAGAGTGTTGGAATGACAGCCGGGTGTGCCCTGCCCTGGGCTGGACAAGCTCTCAGGTGCACGTCCCGGTCTGCCCAGCACAGTGAGGGTGGGTGGGTGTCTAACCCCGGGCCCGGCACCCATGGGCACTAGGAGGCTCCTCCCTGAGCTCCTGTGGGCTGGGCGGGTCCTGTGGGCTCCACTCCTGAGCTCAGCAGTGGCCCCTACCTGAGTTGGGGTCCAGTTTTTACCCTTGTTTTTGCCCGAATTTGGGGGCTGGACTGTTAGGGCCCCAGGCTGTGGCCAGGGAGGCAGGGGGCTCACTGTCCTTCTCCCAACTCCATACCCCACCATGCGTTTCTGGCTTCTCGAAGAGCAGCTCCTGGTTCTCTTCCTCACCCTGAAGCTGTGGTGACCCAGGTGTCCAAGTCCCCAGCCCAGTTTGGGGGGTCAGGGAAACAAGGAGTGGGGAGGGAAAGAAGGGGAGGCGAGGAGGGGAGATAGATTGGGGTAGCTCCTCCTGGCACACTTCTCCTGTCTACCTCTGCTCAGGGTTCTGCAGCCTCTGCCCAGGCCTTCCCAGGGGAGGGAACAGTCAGCACACCCCACTAAACCATTACACCCTGGTTTTCTCAACCTCAGTTTCCCCAGCTCGACCTGCTCTGCCCTTAGTCTCCAAGTACTGGCTCCCTTTACTTCCTGGAAGTTGAGTCTCCCAGCCACTTAGGGACATGGACCGTCCAGCTGTGGTGGCTGCCATGACAGCCCCTCTTCTGGCTGCCACCTGGGCTCCCCCACCTCTCTGATTCTTCTTCAGCTCCATCCAGCTAGGACCTACTTCCCCCCCCCTAGCCTCCCCCACCATGAGGCCTGCATCCTCTGGGGACTCCCACTCAGAGGCCATGGCCTCCCTGGAGCTCCCTGTGCCCTCACAGCACCCATGCATGCCCCCAAAGCAGGGCTGTCACCCAGGCGAACACCCTGCTGCCCTGAGGGCTCCCTGGAGGCTGGGCCATTTCCTCTGTCCCCTCCTCTCCAGCCTCGAAGCATTGACCCAGAGCCGCTGGTGACCTCCTGGCCCTGGCTGCCAGGCAGCCATCATCCAAGGACTGAAGGCCTCTGGGACAGGAAGAACAAAGGTCAGCAGGGAGGGACAGCCGCCATAGCCGGCAAGGGCTCTGGATGGGGCCAGTCTGTTAAGGAGTCAGCTCTGTGGAGATGGTAAGGAGGCTGGCACAGTTATCTGTGCCTGCCCGGGCAGCAGGGCCTGAGGAAGTGAAACGCCAGGGCTGCTGCTGGAGCCCAGGGTGCAGTGGCCAAGCTGGGGAGGCTGAATGCGTCTCTTCCTCACCTGCCACCCAGGGACAGAGCAGCAAGGGAGGACCCGGGTGCTATACAGTTGGCTGCACCTTTGGTGGTGGCAGAGGCACTGGATGCGGGCCACATGGCCGTGTAGCAGAGTGGGCACAGGATGCCCTGGTGCCAGTGAGGCCTGCTCAGCCTGGCAGGACAAGGCACACCTCTCCACCGCTGCACCAGGGCCAGGACAGTGGGTGGAGCAGGCGGAGCTGGAGGGAGGTACAGACACTGCAGCGGGGTGCTCAGGCACAGACCCAGTGTGAAGCATGAAAGGGACCCCACCGGTAGGCCTCGCTCCAGCCCTTCATCCCTGGTGCGCCCTGCGCACTGACTGCCTCAAGTGACTGGGCCCGCAGCAGAGTCAGTCAGCACAGAGCAAAGGGGCCATGTGCTTGGGGCATGGGGAGGACACCACCTCCAGGGCTGCCCCGAGAAGAGAGGAGGCCTAGGCCCACGCAAGAGCACGGCGGACAGGCAAACCCAGACACAGAGACAGGCGAACAGAGGTGGGCGGGATGGAGATGGGCGGGCAGAACACAGCTCGAAGACAGAGATGGCAGTGACGCGGGCGGGCGCAGCCTGGTGCGCGGGCCCAGTGCTCACAGATGGAGGAGGAAGCCCGGGGAGCAGACAGGATTTGTCTTACCGCTTCGTCCTCGGCAGGCTTGGAAACACAAAGGCACACTTAGTGGGGTGCAGGGTAAGAGGGGCAGCGCTGAGGTTCGGCCCTCGAGGAGGTGCCCGTGCGATAGGAACCTGTCCATGAGTAGGGGCAGTCGGAGGAGCCAACCACAAGTGAGTGCTCTGCTGAGCGCGCAGGGCAGGGGGTCGAGGGGAGTGACCCGAGGAAAGCCCTCCCAGAGGAAAGGCCCTGCGGCCACACTGCCTCCCTCTCTCCTTCAAAGAAGAGGCGAAAGACCCAGAAACTGGAGAAGCGTCTGCGAGGGAACGCGGATGCGCCTGCCCTGTCGCCAGCCAGCGACACGTTGGCCTCTGCGCTCAGGCTGGGAAGCAGGACTAGGCCCAGGCCCTGCACCCCGCTGGGCGAGGGAGGAGGACACATTTCCTGCATCCTCCAGGTGCTGCCTGGCGCAGCGAGCACAGAGGAGCATGGAGGAGCAAGGGAGCCAGACCTCGGGGTGCAACAAAGCTGCAGGCGAGGCTGAGCGTGGGACGCAGGCCCATCACACATGGCCCCAAGGAGGCAGCTGCTTGTTAGTGTTTAGTTTGTGAGAAGGCCACGTGGCCCCCAGGATTCCAGACTGGGGTGACACGCGGAGGCGGGAGCCACGACGCCGGGCCTTACCTCATCCGCGTCCTCCGAGTGGGTGGAGAGCTGGTCATGCTGAATAATCTCAGCATCCTCCTCTGTCGGTCCGTTGCCCACCCTGATCCCACCAAAGCTGAGAGTTCCCTACACGGACGAACAGAAAGAGTCCGATTTGCCTGGGCTTCAGTGCCATGAGATCCGCAAGGTGGGAAGGGCGTGGCAAATGTACTTCAACCTTGGGGATAGGGCCCACATAGAAGCAAACCCCGATTCCACCCCTGCACCTGGAGAGCAACCTCACCCGGGCAGGCCAGGGAAGCTGCAGGCTGCCTGTGGGGTGCTGGTGTACCTCATTAACAACTTCTCACAGGAGCCCAAGGGTTCCCCGAAAGGCCAGGCTCTGCCTGGCTGGGGAAAACGGGTGTGCGGTTGGGAGGCCTGGCTATGCAGGGATAGGGACAGGCACAGCCCTGTGGCAGGAGTTTTTATGGGGTTTTTGTCTTGTGGCGTTTTCCGGTGCTTGGCCTTTGTTTAGTCACCAAGTTGCCCAAATTGGGCTTGAACTTCTGACTCTCCTGTGTCAGCCTCCTAGAGTGCTGAGATTATGGGCCTGCACCACCACACCCCACTCCATAGGCAGAATTCTCAAGTTAGCATCGTTGGAGAACTCTGCCTTCACGGGGGTGAAGAAAACAACTGGCGAACTGGGCCTACCTGACAGACGCCAGCGTGTGGCAACTGTGACGGGGCCAGAGAAACCTGAGTCCCTTGGCTCACGCCCTGAGGCTCCCTACAACCCTTCTATGGCACCTTCTTTTGGGGTCCTCTATGTCCAAGTCCAGGGTTTGCAGACCCCTTCCAGGTACCTGGCAGCTGCCCACCAGCAGCCTTCATTTCGGGACCGCTCTCTGAGAGAGATTCTCTACCCATGGCTCTAGCAGTGCCAAATGCCCGCGCCCTTATGCCTTGGCAGCCCTGTGGGGACTCCTGCGCCTGCTAGGCTCAGCCACAGGGCAGACAGGTCTGCACCAAGGTCTGCACCTTGGACGCCCAGGGACAGCAGTGCTGTTCCAGAGAGTGCCTGCATGTTCAAGGCAGTATCCCACGGGACGGGGGTGCCCAGAGTGGGCAGCGTCAGGAGGGAACAGCTACCCAGGTACCTAATAAGCCATGTGCAGCCCCAGAACGCACAGCTCCCGTCGTGTCACCCCGCAGTGTCGCCCTACACACGTGCATACTTGTCCCAAGGACGACATCGATGCTGGAAGTGGAGCCCTCACTGCAGAAGCACCACAGAACGCACGCCCTGCTTGCCTGGGGCACTGTCAGAGAGCACAGTCTGGGCTGTGGGATTATGGGCACTTTCTGTTTTTTTCTTAATTCCTGTGAAATATGAGCTTTGATCAGAAATATGGTGACTACATGAAGCTCTGTCCAGTAAGACAGGCTTGCCTTGGCCCTGCCTAAAAGACTTCCCAGTCCCCGTGCCACACTCCGAGGCCAGTATGAAGCCCTTTGGTGGCTCCTTGATGGCTTGAATGAGCTCGCAAGGCTGACCCACACAGCCACGCTGACTCAGGAGGAGCCACAGCCGCATGGTGTGTCCCTCTGCTGGCGGTGCTCCACAGCTGAGGCCACTGTGGTTCATACCGCGCACAGGCATTGGGGGGGGGGCAGACGGACGGATAGACAACGGACTCTAGAGCTGCTCCAGAAAGAGGCAGGGACGCCAGTGCAGGTGTGTGCAGGGTGAGGGGATTCTGAGGAGACACGTGACAGGAGTCTTCACTGTAATCATGTTTTGTTTGGAAGACAGAATCTGACTTTGTAGCCCAGGCTGGCTTTGAACTCACTACAGAGCCTGGGCTGGGCAGGAACTCATGGTGATGTTCCTACCTCAGCCTCCTGAGTGTTGGGATGACAAGCCTGCCTCATACATTCTGATCACCTGCTGTCAGGTCAAAGTGGATTCTAATGCACAGTCGGACTTGGAAGCCACTGAAATCTGGGCCCTCTAGGCCAGCACATGTGACCCCCCTCCAGGGAGCACTCCAGGGAGAGGGCTACAGGACCTGGGGCTGGTACCTGGCGTGTCCTGGGCCAGGTCAGAGGGCACAAAGCAGGAGTAGAACTCAGTGTCTCAGGCCGCCTGCCCAGCTCTCTCAGGGGCACAGCCAGGAGGAGAAGGTGGGATGGCCCGGAGGCCCTCACACAGCAGCCCCAGCAGCCCAGGAGGAGGTGGGGCAGTGAGAAAGCCTCCAGGATGCCCAACTCAGGCCCAGGGGCTTTGGCTTGGGGTTCATCCCTGGAGCATCAAGGCATCTCGGAAGTGCCCTGGGCCATGTGCAAAGACCGCAGGGAGAGTGCATGAGTGCTGCGGAGCCGTGCACTCCCAGGGTCCTCTGTACACGGGGAGAGGCCCAATGGAAAACGTTTCAAGCACCAGGATGAAAATGTCTTGTGTCTAAGACACCAGCCCTTCCCGAGCAGTTCTAAGACTGGCTGCAGGCTTTCCAACCTGTGTCCTGGAGGACATGACCATCCACCTCCTGCTTCATTTCTTCAAAAGACTTCTTTTTTGGAGACAGGGTCTCACTATGCAGTTTAGCAGGCGTCGAGCTCACTCTACAGCCCAGGCTGGCCTCAACCTCACAGCGCTCCTCTGGCCTCAGCCTCCCCAGGGCTGGGATCATACCTTGTGCTCCTGTGCCCACTTCTTCAAAAGACTGAATGCTACTGAGACTTGGCAGACACGGGTAATGGCTGCCAAAGACTTGGAAGGCTCTGTGACCCATTGCCTAGAAGACCTTAGGCTAGTCCGAGGCCAGTGCATTACAAGACTGGCTAGAAGACGCTTCTAAGGATAAATGTTACCGTGCTTAATGTTCTAAGTGCTATTACTGAACCACAGTATCCTGAAGGGGCTCAAGGCAGAAGGGGACTTAGGTCCCTACACAGATGTAAAGACGTGGCAGGGGCAGCCACCACAGCAATGTCCAGCACACGAGGTGGGAGTGGGGTGAAAAGGGTGAGGACATCCTGTCTGCGGCCCGAGTGGGAAGGAGATACATGCACATCAAGCTCTCGAGGGAAGGGACTGCTGACAAGGTCCAGATGTTCAAGCGCCACTGCGGCGAACCCCTAACACAGGAAACCGAGTCAAGGAATCTGAAACCGCTTGCCAGGAAGGCCTCACTGCCTGGGCACCTCAGGTTGAGGCAACGGCGGACACAGAGAGCGCATGGTGGCCACGCCTGGCCCGGCGCGGACTTACATTCCCAGCGGGGACTGGGGGACAGCGGGAAGGCAGCTCCAGTCTGCACTAGGGGCAGCGAACTCTTCTGCGGAGTCTCAGAGCATAGTGGACACGCTCCCCAGGGCACGCGGCCACACGCAAGGACACTGCCATACTGCGCGACACAGAGGCCCCTGATGGACTGGGTTCACTCACTGTGGCTGCCTCTGCCACCTCCAGTGCCTGCTGGCTCAGGGCCGGGCTGCCTGGGGCCTCCATGGGGTGCCCATCCTGATGGGGATGGGAGAGAAGGAGGTGGAAGGAAAGGGAGGCGGGCAAGGAAGGAGACGGTCAGGAAGGGGAAGGGGGATCATCACTCACTGCTCCCTGAAACTCACTGCTTACTGCTGCACAGCGGGGTGCACAGGGGCACACAGGGCACCTGCGCCATGCACAGAGCTCGAGTCCACTGACACATGAACACTGCTTTTGAGAAGAAAAATGCCAAGCACCCTGCAGCACACCTTACCAGGCTCGGCTCGGCTCGGCTCGGCTCGGCAGGCTGTGTTTTCAAAGGCAGTTTTCGGGCTGCCCACTTCTCCAACACACAGGGCGCCTGGCACAGAGCCCACAGCCCGCCAGGAGCACAGCTAGGACCTGAGCTGGGCCTAGGCTCCCCAGCCCTCAGAGCCGGCCCCAGACCTGTGTAGGCAGCTGGACAAAGGGACACTGGGACAGGGCACCAGCGAGCTCTTAAGGGAGTCCACATGCATGCACAGGGCTCACTCCTGAGCCAGAGCTCAGCAGACTCACCAGGTGCTTCCTCCGCAGATACTGGCGGCGCAGGACCAGCGGCTTCACCAGCAGCATCCAGGGCACACAGAGCAGCGCCACGACCACGAGGAAGCACTGGATTCCCTTCTGCAGTGGAGCGGGGCAGGTAGTACAAGGATGTGCAGCGTCAGGGAGGCCCGCACCCAGCAGCAGCACCCCCAGCCAGCCCCGAGCCCACAGCCCAGGCCTCTGTGGTCCTGCGCCCCAGCCCGGGCAGGCAGAGAGCCGCACCTGGCCGGAGTAGAGCATGGCCCCGCTGGCCTCGGGGTAGGAGAAGAGGAACATGTTGATGAAGTGGATGAGCAGGCTGGGTGCGCGCTCCGAAGTGTGCGCACTGTAGGCCGTCCACTTGTAGAAGATGAGGATGACCAGGTAGCCGAACAGCGAGGACATGAAGATGACCTCAGGCAGGAACCCGAAGTAGATGTTGAGGGGCTTCTTGAAGTAGCTGCAAGGGCAGAGCGGGGACCGTTCTGGGGGCAAATGGGAAAGGCCAGGCCCTGCGGAGTGTGAGGCTCGGATAGCGCCATGGCTGCTCGCTCAGGTCTGTGTCCGACGGTGAGGGCAGAACTTAGGGTGAACCAAGATAGCTTGGGCGGGAGAGGGCTCCCCATGGAAAGTCAGGCAGTCTAGAAATACAGACGCTGCCACAGGTACCCCCAAACCCCTGTAGGCCCAGGGCCTTCACACTGAGCGATCTCCCTAGCTTTTAAAAAAAATTTTTGTTTATTTTTTTATCGGTACCAGGGATCGAACTCACGACCGCCTGCTTGGAAGGCAGGTGCTTATGCCACTGAGCTAAATCCCTAACCCCTCTCTAACCTTTTTTAAATTATTGCTTTTATGTTTGAGACAGGTGCTTATCAAGTTGCTCAGAATGGCAATCCTCCTGTTTCAGCTTCCCAGGGTGCCAAGATCATGGGCGTGCACCACCACACACACAGTTTGTTTTACACATCAAGAAAGAAAAGGAAGCCAGGTGTAGTAGCCCATATCTGTAATGCCAGCACTTGGGAAGCTGACATAGGATGATTGTTGTGAGTTTGAGACAAACCTTAAGACCAACCTGAACTGCAGAGAAACCCTGTCTCAAACAGACCAGGAAAAAAAAAAAAAAAAAAGAATAGGAATTCATTTCATTTGGTGAAAATCACTGAAGCTTTATTACAACCATAAACTGTAAGGGACTAATATTGTCTCATCTAATAATGTATGATTTACTGCATCTGTTTCAGTGCGTTTGAGGCAAGGTCTCACTATATAGTTCAGGCTGACTTTGAACTGTGTGGCTCAGGCTGGTGTTGAACTTGCAGCGAGCCTCCTGCCTCAGCCTTCCAAGTGCTGGGATGACAGCTGTGTGTCACCACACCCACCTAGACCATGGGACTTGTATAGCAGGGTGTTCTGGGGTACCCCTGTGATCCCAGCAGTACACTGAGGCAGAACTTCAGCACTAGGCTGGTTTGGGCTGCATAGTGAGTTCCTGTCTCATGCAAACTAACGAGGCCTTATGGGATGGTTCAGGGCTAGGTGTGACTGTGTCTCCCCCTCCCCTGAGGCCAGGCAGAGGGACTTACATGTGGTTGAACAGGCTCAGGCCAACCCCAAAGAGCATGTGGACGATCCCCAGGATCACCGACATCTTCATCTTGAAGGAGTTGAGGAAGCTCAGCTTGTTGGTGGCAATGTTCCAGATCTGTCGACTCAGGCACAGGAAAGGCATGGTGTGAGTGCCCCAAGGGAGGTCAGCGTCCTCACAGGAGCACAGGACCTGAATGTGCACAGCAGGACCAGTGCATCCCTGTCCAGGCTGAGAAACCCAGCCAGAGAGTGCACCACTTCACCCGTGATGACTACAGCGCGGCCGGCTAAGGGGCAGGGGCCAGCTTCAAAACCTGAGCATGGCGCATGGCACCCCGGAGCATGTGTGGTGACGGCTTCCTCTCCTGGGGCCATGACCCACCCAGGGCCTCCTGAGAGCTCTGCAGCCACCACCGCCCAGCAGTGATTCTTGGACACCATATACACAGTCTGTGCCACATTTATATGGAATCCAGCCTCGTAACAGGCGATCTGGGTACTCAGCCTAGGGTCAGCCCGACCCAGCCCTAAGTCCGACCACACATCCTCCTGCGACACTGTCCCCTGTGGCTGCCGGGCTCTGTGTGGTTCCTCCCTAGCCTGCAGCCTGCTGCCCACATCCCCAAGACACTGGAGATGGAGTCTGGGTGTCAAAAGTGCTAGGCAAGGGCCACCCTGCATCCGCGCCTGTCCCCTCTGCTGTCCTGAGGTTTCTCTGCCCTGCCACCTGCCACCTGGCCTAAGGTGGGGCCTTCCTAGCCCCTGCAGTCCTCAGGAAGTTGAACCCTCATGTTTCCCGGCTGAGGGTTGCTGTGGTGACACATGACTGTCCTTTCTCCAGTCAGGGTGCTCTGAGATCCTCCTACACCCCTGTGCACATCCGGTGACCTCAGAACAGTGGGCACATGCAGGGAGCCTGGGACATCACCGCCTCATTCACTGAGGTGGGGCCTGAAGCTTGTCCCAGCTCGGTATGGCCAGCTCCCTGTGTGCAGGTTCCACGTCTGTGGATTCGACCACCAACCAGATCAAAAATACTCAACGCCAAGTATGGAGTACAAAGCCGCACCATGTAACCCGCCCCCTCAGGAGGCAGAGGCAGGGTGCTCCAGAGCTGGAGCCCAGCCCTGGGAATTTAGTGAGACCCTGCCTTCAAATGAAAAGGCAAGGGCAGGGACAGGGACAGAGCTTCCTGTGGAGGGCCAGGGCTCAGCACCCTCCCCTACACATGCACATGCAGTCACACACTCGAGCACGAGCACTGTCCCCAGAGCATGACGTAGTGGACAGGCTGCCTGGGCAGCGTAGCATTTGGGTGCTCTCCACCGTTCAGTGAGGGGACGCAGCGAGAGTGGACAAGGACCCCAACAGTGGCACATGGGAAGGTTCAGGACCCCAGTGGGATGGCCTTCACCCATGTGAGGGCCACAGCCTCTCCTTGCTGTGCTGTTCCACACAGCCCCAAGCAAGAACACTGTGGTCCTTGGGAGCCCCCCACCTGACACCACGCACTGGTAACTGTAGGAAGCGGATGGCAGCTGTGAAACAGAGTGGAACGGCCTCTGCACGGAGAGCCACACCTGCACTCCTCACTGTCCCAGACATCCTGCCTGAGCTGGTCACTGAGGGCAGCCCCATAGCGCGCCCAGGCTGCGCAGGCCTTTTGGGGACCCGCTCCCCTTGCAGCCGGCACTGAGTGCTGGGCCCTGCTTTGCGCCTGCAGCAGCCCTACAGCCCTCCGCGTGGACAGCTCACACCCAGCCACTCTCCTTTCACAGGGAACCGTCCTCCCTCCCAGCGCAGCGGGTGCTTTCCCCCCAGCACCTCTAATCCTGGTCTGATGCTTCGCTGTTTCAGCTCAAACGCCATAACAAAGACCTGGCCTTACTTATCTGCTGCCGCATTTGTGAAAGGATAATTCTGAGGTAAGGTTCTTATAACCAAGTAAAGACAAGGCTGGGAACCTGAAATCGCTGGTACTTTGTTAAACCATCTGGGAAACATTTAAACATAGCAAACCCACCGAGGATTTAGCTCAGTGGCATAAGTGCCTGCCTTGGAAGTTTGAGGTCTTGACTTTGATCCCCGGTACCAAAAAAAAAAAAAAAAAACAAAGAAAGAAAGAAAAGAAACCATTCACCAAAGTTTTTGCAGGGTGTGGTAGCTTCCGCCTGTAATCCCAGCACTTGGAAGGCTGAGGCAGGAGGATCCTTGTGAGTTCGAGACCAGCCCAGGCTACCAAGTGAGCTGAAAGCCAGCCTGAACTGCATAGAGACACAAAACAAAACACAGCAAACCCCATGGATGGAACTGAGAACTGGGAAAGGGTGTGTTGACAGTCTTCCCAGCGTCCATACTTTGAACTACTTCAGTGAGAACCAGTGCTGGAGCTCCCTTGGCACAATGGGTTACACGTGGTCATTAGAAATCAGCAGTGTTGGAAGCTGTGATCCCAACGCTTGGGTGGCTGGCTGAGGCAGGGGGATCCCTGTGAGTTTGAGGTCAGCCTGCACTACACAGTGAGTTTAAGCTTAGCCTGAACTACAGAGCAAGAACTCATCTCAAAAACTAACAAGAGAAAGAAAAAGAAAGAAAAAACAGTGTTGGCGCTCCATGAGGCTCCTGTCACACGTGGGCCTCCCCTGGCTTGCCAGAAAAGACAGAGCTCACTGTCTTCACTTCCGTTCCCTGGCTTCAGGATGACCCTGGATGGCACACAGGACACAGGGAGTCTCACCGGGTCGATGCCAAAAGGGTATGGGCCACCGAAGACACCAGGCACGGCTGGGTTCAGCTGCAGTACAGGATTCCCCCGGAGTGTGTCCTCCCTGCAGGGAGAGGGCCAGAGGATGCCTTTCACAGGGACAGCGGGACGGCTGGGCCAAGGACTGCCCAGCAGAGGACAGACCAGATCAATGTGCTTAGGTTGGGGGTCAGCGTCCCCATGGTGGGCTGCTGTGGGGCAAGGGGCACAACTGTGCTGGTGTGTGCGCCAGGCAGCCAGTCCTGAGTCGGAGCCCTGTGCTTCCAGCCACCCTGTGACTTACGTCCAGTTAGAGAGCGTGAACATGGGCCGCACGCTCCAGGACGAGCCGAAGATGTTGAGGGACTTGGAGAAGCAGTCATTGTAGATGAGACCGGTGTAGATGGAGAAGATGCCCATGAGCAGGATGATGTAGCGGCCACTGAACACGGTGCTGAACATCTGGGGCAGAGTCAGGGGCCTGAGGCTGCACTGCTGAGTACTGTGCCCCAGAGGAGCTGCGGAGAGCGCACTCCAGGCCAGCTGGCTGGCTGGCCGGGGCAGATGCAGCTTAGGGTTTGGGGTTTGCCCCTGTTTTCTAGCAGGACTGGCTCGGACTCCCCTCCACCCACTCCCACTCCACAGTGTCACTCTCTACTTTGGGGCGAGGCTTGTTGTGGGGCCCAGGCCCCATGCAGGCCAGGGAGGTGTCAAGCTTCCCCTCACCTCATTTTCATTCTTCTGCGAGAGGATGCGGCTTTCCCGGATCACCATCCACGACGCGAAGAGGGTCATCAGGGTGCCGTGGCCAAAGTCCCCAAACATCACAGCGAACAGGAAGGGGAATGTGATGATGGTGTACGGGGCTGGGAGAGGCCAGGAGCGGGGTGCATGAGGGCCAGCAAGCCCAGGCCGGCTGCCCGCCATGGCGGGCCCCAGTTGTATACCACCACAGGCCAGCAAAGCACTGCAGCCAGCCCAGCACTGGGCCAAGGCTGAGCCCAGCTGCCAGGAGCAGTCATGCGAGGCTTGGGCTGTGCTGGCTCTCAGGGCTGCTGCTTCTCTCCTGCTGGGGACCCACCCAGGCCCTCACATGGACCACTGCTGGTCTTTTCTGCTGAGCCGCTTCTCTGCCCTCAGACCCCAGGGAGAGCAGTCCCAGGACAGAGGCTGGGAGGCAGCTCCAGGGAGCGGGGGATGCCCTGGAAAACACCAGCCAAGGACATGCAGGAAGCCGGGCCAGGGCAGAAGCCCTGTGGGCTCAGCCAGAGCTGGGGCCTGCAGCCCACCAGGGTTTACAGGAAGGAGTTCAAACAGTCTGGTGCACAACCCTGCACAGAACCGGCGGCAAGGGCATACCTGGGTTAATCTCTCGGTAAGTCCCGATCCCATAGGCGTCCACGATGTTCTGGAAGCCGGACGTGAACTTGTTGGTCTTGTTATAGGTGGGGGGTGTCTGGCTCGTCTGCATCCGATTCAGGATGGAGGGCACCGTGGAGCCACTGTGCTCCTGCAGACCACAGCACATGCCAGGGTCAGGTTGCCCCCCCCCTACAGCAGGACCACCAGGCCACCAGGCAGAGGCCAGACAGAGGCCCCCATCTGTGTGAATTATCTCAGCAAAGCCAAGGGAAAATGAGGGGAGAGGTTTTGCCTCCCAGGTTTGGAAAAGCCACAAGGTGTAATATGTGTGAGATTCTAATGGAGGCCTGGGATGCACAGTATGTCTGGCACTCAGGAGGCTGAGGCAAGAGGATCACTTGAATCCAAAAGTTGGAAAACACTTTAATTGGGGGTAAAAAGGAGGGAGAGGGGGCCGGGGAAAAAAATAAGCAGCAAGATATATCTTGTACAGGAACAAATTCTCTGCGATGAATGTGATCATTATGTACATCTGAAAGATACCAATGAAATTTTTCCCCCAGTACTGAGAGTCAAAATCAGGACCTTGCACTTGCCAGGCGGGCACTTTGCCACTGAGCTATTTCTCTAGCCCACCAATACACTTTTTTAAAATTGCAAGAAAATAGTAAGAAACATATTTTGTTGGAAGCAGCCCTTACCATGTTTGAGCAGAAGGCTGGGTGGAGCTGGCTACAGGCCGAGCATAAGAATCCAAGATTCAGCAAGACCCAGTCTCACAAACCAACTAAACACTGAACTGCAGCCTGAGTTGGCAAGGAGCCGCCCTCACCTCCACCCTGTCCCAGCAGCAGTGTGGCTCTGCCCCTCAGCCCATGTGGGTGGGGCCTGAGGAGCTGCCCTCCAGACACAGCCCAGGTTCAGGGCGCCACACACCCGACTTCTCACCGAGGGCCCTGCTCAGCCCTCAGTAGCCCTGCACATCCCACATCCTCTCCTCCACCTTCAAGTCTGGGCCTGGGCTGGCTAGCACTTCCTTCGTCCAGGTGATGGCCACATTTGCTGCTGCCTGCAGAATCCCTCGCCTGGGATTATTTCAACTCGGGATAACATGCAAAGCCTCTGACCTATTTTTTGGTTTTTTGTACTAGGAATCGAACTCGGCACCTTGCACTTGCCAGGCAGGTATTGCACCACTGAGCTGCATCCCTGGCTGTAACCATGGCTGCATTGCGGTTTTTCAACAACCCTTCTGATGCCTGGTGTGGTGGTGTTTGCCTCAAATCTTAGCACTCGGGAGGCTGAGGCAGGAGGATTGCCATGAGTCTGAGGCCTGCTTGGCTGCCTAGTAAATTCAAGGCCAGCCTGAAAGGCACAGTGAGACCCTGAATACCAAAAAAACAAATAAACGGCCAGGCTGTGCCTGGTACAGGCTGCTAAACTCAGTCCCCACCTGCTCTGGTTTTCAGAGGCTTTGCCAACGCCACCTTGCTCTGCTGGGCTTCACAGTGCTGTTTGATGGCCTGGTGCTGGGGACAGAAACTAGACCTAGGCTATGCTAGAAATGCTGCGGCATAGACCTGCACCCGCCTTGCCATGCTGCGCCCTCTGGAGCCTTCTCTGGACACCCAGCACACAAGGCCACACTCACTGGGCTACGGGAGCTTAGCACCCACCCCTCCCAGCAGCTGTGTGGTAGTGGGGCTCATCACTGGCTGTGCCCCCAGCCTAGGCAGCAGCTGAGACAGCGTGCCTGTGAGCCTCCCAAGGGACACAGAGAGAGGGCCTGGAGCGCTCGGCCACACTGCTCCCCTGGGTGTCCGCACTGCTCACCAAGGGCCACGCACTGCGGAGACACAGGAGAAAGCAGGGCCTGGCTGGCTGTGGGGACTCACCGTGCCCCGCCTGAGCGCAAACTGGATGGAGTCCAGGTCAGTGACGGGGCACCAGACCTCGGCGATCAGGCACTTCTGGGTGACGTCTATGTTGCAAAGGTTCAGCGTGTGGTAGATGGCCTTCATTTTGCGCACTTTGATGAACCAGACCCGGATGTTCTTGGCAGCGGCCTGCAGCACCCGCTGCCGGTGGTCCTCGGTTTGGTTCAGAACCTTTAGGGAGAGAGACAGAAGTGGGGCCCTGAGTGCCAGCGGCCACTGGAAGTGGCTTTTTCCTTTTTTTTTTTTTTTTCAGAAGTGGCTTTCTAATAGATGCTGCATGGAAACCATTTGAAAATAAAACTTTTTTATTTTTTGGTCAAATTACAAGAAATGTGGGTACTAATTACTAATATTCGTTTTCATTTAGCTTCAAACTAAACTGTTCAGAGGCTGCTGTTTAGCCTGGCTCCCTATGCTCCCTCTCCCCCAATCCAGACCCCGCACAGTGAGGGGTGGCGACTCCCCAAGCCCAGCCCTGCCTGTGCTGTGTGAGCACCCAACCCTGGTGGCTCCGATGCAGAGGTCAGGACATACACAGATCCAGGACTGCGGAGCAGACTCCATGGTGAGCCTGGCCCCTGGACAGAGCTCCCCAGAGGAAGGTGAGGGGCATTTCACAGCCTGAGCCCACAACACCACCTCTCAGACTGGGCAGCAGGGACAGAGAGCCCTCCACAGCCTGCAGGAGAGGCTACCGGAAAGGCTTCACACCAGCCACATTAAAGTTCCCAGCTCAGCCAGACAGAGTGGTCATGCGGCCCTGAGAAGCCACCTTGCACATGGCAAGGTGATCTCTAAGAGGTTAAAAGCAAAGGCTGAGCAGGTGTGGGGATCTGAGTGTCTGTAATTCCAGCACTTGGGAGGCTGAAGCAGGAAGATCTTGGGGAGTTTGAGCTCAGACGTGGCTACACAGTGAGAACCTGTCTCCAAAAACCAACCAAACAACAACAAAAAAAGCAAAGATCTATGACAGGGAAACTCAGTGTGATGTTAGGAGAGCCATCTCCCATCCTGACCGTGTCCACGCCCTCGCAGTCATGGTCCACACCGTTGCAGGAAGGCTGCTATGTGACCATGTGACCCACCATGTACCTGTCTTTCTTTCTCCACCCCACACTTTGGTATTTAAGGTCTTTTGAAAATGTCAGTTCCTAGAGCCTGATTTTTAAAACTCAAATTCTAGTATTTTTAACACCATTCTCTGACTCCACTTGTCAGCCTGCGAAGGTGAGATGGGCTCAGTGCTGAGACTGTGCCACGTCCCTCAGCCAGTGGGGTCACAGGCCCTGGGGTGAGGCCGGGAGGAGAGGGGTGTGCACACCTCTGATCCTGGTGTCACCACTGGAGAGGAGCACCTGGCTCAAGGTGGAGGGAGCTGAATACACAGCACTCATCTCGCTGGTGACAGTGCCATATCCAGCAGTTGTTCTCTGAGGCAATTTGAGACCAGAGGGACCTGTACCCAGGACATGCGGTGCCTGGACTCTGGGGCCACCCCCAGCACCCAGCAAACCTTGAGTGCACACTTAGAAGGAGAGACCCTCCCACCTCTGCATACCATCTGGAGGTCATCAATCCTGGTATTGACTCCGGAAGCCATTTCTTTCCTCTCCTGTGGTGTCTCAGGACAGGGATAGAGTGAAGCCCGGAACCTGCAACACACAGACACGGCCTGAGGAACGTGCCCGCCTGCCGCTTGCTTTCCTCTTCCTTTTCTTGGCAGCTGTTGTTTGGGGGCTGGGTCTCCCTCTACAGTCCGACCTGACCTCGAACTTGCTGTATAGCCCAGGCTGACCTTGGAGTTGTAACCCTGCCCAGCTCCAGGTGCCAGGGTTACAGGAATGCACCACTACCTCCAGCTTTGTTTCTTAACACTCAGCGTCAATCACTGGGGACCGATCACTGGAGAGTTAACTTACTGGGTGGGGTCAGAGTGGGGAGAGGCTGGACTGCCCGCTAACACTGTTTACGGGAGGAGGCCTGCCATCATCGGGGTGCACCTGGACTATCAAGACCTCCTCCGTGGCTACAGGATTCCCTTGGGAGCAAGGAAAGGGGCTGTATTACAAATTACTGGAAGCCAGGGTACAGCTCAGTGGCACAGCACCTGCCTGGCAAGCTCAAGGTCGTGAGTTGCATTGCCAGTCCCAAAAGATAAAAAAATAAAAAGACTAAATTACTAGAGAAAAATACCACAAAAAAAATTCTGTCCTTAAGACTTTCCCCAATGTCAGGATGCAGTGTTGATGGCACTATGCAGGCCTACTGCCCCCAAAGAGGACTGCATACTTCTGAGAAAAAGAACTTGGGCCTTTTCTTCGAGGTACTGGTGGGGACCCCACTCTGACCGAGCTCACTGCCAGCTCTCTCTATTGTTTATCTCGAGATAGGGCCTCAGTAAGCTGCCCACACTGGCCTCAGACTTGTGATCCTCCTGCCTCAGCCTTTTGGAGAGCTGGGGTTACAGGTGCACACCACCACACCAGCTCTGGCCTGTGCTCAGAATCAGCCCAATGCTGTGGAATACACAGTCCACTTGGCAGACAGGAAGACCCCTCGCCCACAGTCAGGCAGTGACCCTGGTGCAGGTGGGGACCCTTACCCCTCACAGATCTTCTTCACTCTGTTCTTCAGCTGGTCACCCTGGAAGAAGATGATGAACACGGACTTGTGCACGTAGTCGCCCTGGGCCACAGAAGCGAAAGGCAGGGGCTCAGAGCTCTATCTGGAAATCATCGCCCATCAGCTCACCAGGGTAGTGGAGGATACTAGGAGCCCATGAGGATGTAGCCACTGCGCCCGCCCGCGGCCAAAGTATCATGACAATGACATCGGCCTGCAGCTCCTAGGACCAAAATCTGCTTTCAGACGTGCTCAAAGTGACAGAGGGGCTGCAGCGCCAGCCTGGTTAAGCTCTAGTCCAACTGTGGATCTTCTATTAGCACCAAGGATCGGGTGGGGGTGCTCTGCTATCCGTCTTGGGCTTAGCCCCAGGTAAGGGCCCATGACTACATGAAGCTGATTCCCAGAAGACTGCAACCCAGAAGCCCAGATCTGTTAACCCAGACCGGGCTGGGGGAGAGGCAGCCGGCCGCAACAAAGGCCAGGTCCGCATCTGAGGTACAGGCAGGGAGCAGAGAGACCAAGCTAATGAGGGGTGGGCAAGGCCCGCTAACTGAGGGCCTGGCTGCTGCAACTGCTGGGTTGAACAGTACACACTGGCTTGTGAGAAGAAAGCAAGTGTCCCCATAGAGGGCCAGGGACACAGAGCCAGGGGTGCGAGGCTCAGGCTCTACGCCCTCCAACCATGCAGCCCTGTGGCAGACTGGCCTCTCCTGAGTCTGCTCATAAATCTGCCTCTGCGGCTGGGAGGAGCCTGGACCAGGTGGCCAGCACCACTCCACTGGCAGGAGAGCCCTGCAAGGCAATGAACTCGTCTAAGTGAGGGGGTTTGCCTTGGCATCCACCCCAACACCCAGCTCTGCAGCATCTCTCTTCTTAGGCAGAGAAGGAAGATTAAGAAAGTGACCAAAGCATGAGCCTGGGATTCTAAGGTGCTAGGGGAGAGGCTAGGAGCTCCCCAGGTACGCCAGGCCCCAAGTAATTCTTCCACAGGAGCAGCACTCGAGGCCTCCTGTCTTACACAGTGGCTACTCTTAGCAAATTCCCATTCTCCCAACAATGGCACAAAACTCTGCCCAGCAAAGTGTTATCAGCTCATAAAGACTGCAGCAGAGGAAGTGACTCCTCTTTTTTTGGGGGGGCTTTTTGAGACCAGGTCTTGCAATGTCATTCAGTCTGGCTTTGAACTCACTATGTGGTCCAGGCTGGCCTCAAACACACAGGGATCCTCCCGCTTCAGCCTCAGCCTTTCACATGCATACCACACCTGGCAGTCACTCCTGTTTTCACACGTGAATGTTACCCGGTGTAGAACCTGATGTCTTGTTCTAAGTTAATTGTCATGAGAGGCAATTTTTCCTTCAGTTCCAAATTCGTAAGAGGGAATCAATAAAGCTAAAGCATTAAGTAATTGGAAAAACCCTATTTCCAATCCAAACTGACCCATTGGGGTTCAGCTTAAAATCTCATCTAGGTCACATGCATTGCAGATGCTGTGCTGGGTGTGTGGTGGCCCTTCCACTCCTCTACCAGAGCAGGATCGGGACAGGGAAGGTGGTCCCACGCTGTGTCCTAGGCTAGGGTCCCTCGCAAGACCCCCTGCAGGGCATACTATTTCCTTGTCTTACAGTCACAGGGTCCTCCAGGGGGTTCTCAATCTCCGCCTGTCGCAGGAACACGTTCCCTCGGCACACACGCCACAGCATGCGTTCGAAAGTGGGGATGCGTTCTCGGTTGATCACGCCAGCCACAAAGCTGCAGGGAGAGCAGATGGCGGCTGCCCCACAGCTCGGGGCGGGGCCAGACATGGGAAGAGGTCGAGGGAGGAGTCACAGCCAGCAGCTGCTGGACAGGCCAGCAGGGGCACCCCAGCCTCACTCCCCCCAGGGCCGCACAGGGCTTACCCCAGCCGCAACGGAGCACCTCTCCCCATCTCGCTGGGCTCCAGGAGCGATGAGGACTCTTCCAACAGGTCTGGATCCGCCATCTGCTGATGATGCAATTCAGCCTGAATTCACAAATCAATTAATATCTAATGAAAATAGTTAGTGGCATGCAGGGCACGAGGAACCAGGAGGTAGGTTTGGAAAAGAGAAATGGAAAAATTGAAACCAAACCACCGGATGGCAAGACACACCCACGAAGGGCAGACTGGAAGAAGGAGGGAAGAAAACAAAGGAGAAGAGGGAAGAAAGCTGGGCTGCCCAGCAAAGCACCCGGAGGAGCACTCCAGTGGTGCACACAGACACAGGGCGCGATGTCGAGGGGAGCAAAGCTGCTCCTGGTGGAACCGTTCCCTCTCCTGGCTCCAGTGACGTGAGCGCTCAGAGCACCCTGTGTTCAGACAGGAAGCTGCTACAAACTAGGCCTCGGCCCTCTGGACCGCTGTGACAGGTAGGGGTGCCTCCCCAGGCACACAGAGTGACCAGGAGGACTGGGGAGTGACTCTAGGGACCAGGTCCTCCAGCCACAGAAACTGGGGACACGAGAACTTTGCACACGGCCCAATGAGGCCTGCAGTGTGGGACTGAAAGTGTGTCCCCTTTCAAAGTGTGGGGAATGGTGGCTGGCAGGTCTGCACCTCACCTTGTCCATTTGTAAAGGAAGCAATGTGTTTGCAGTCCCGCCTTATAGAAACATCTGCAGGGAGTCTGTAGGTTTTAGGGTGTAAGGGCTCTTGAGATCACAGCTCCAGAACCAGGCGGAGCAGGAAAAGCAGCAGATAATCAATGACCCAGAGTCCTGTGCTGGCCTGCCTAGCAGGCAACGGCGTCTACTGGGACAGCTTATACATCGCAGCATAGGACAAGGGACTACACAGAGGTCTCAATGCCTCTCTCTCCTGCCTTTTCAACTGCCACCAGCAGGAGCAGCCATCCTGCAAAACCAAACGCAGCCCACCTCTCTGCTGCCTGTGCTCCTCAGCTTGAACCCCCTCAGGTTTCTCAGCTGACCAAGGACCAGAAAAATCAGCCTTTTCAAAAGTAAAACTGTACAGAAGTTTTTTCTCTGTTATTTTCATTCCAATTCCAATTGGAATCTATTCCTGTCAACAACACTATCAAAAAGTACCACGGGAGGATCTCCCTGACAAAGCCACAGGCCCAGACATGTACCAGTCAGTGGGGAACTAGGCATAAATCAAGGGGACTCGAGGCCTGAAGAGGGAGAGCAACTATTTGAGAGGTGAGGACCAGGCTGGTCCAAAAAATCGAACACAGCAGGCACAAGGAGAGCCCTGGGGCACTGGCAACTTCTGAGCCAGGGCTGCAACCGTGGTTACACCTGCTGCCACCAGCATGCAGAGGGCTCTCTGGCTCTATGTCCAATCACCTGACCGGAGGCACTGGGTTCGTGGACTGGACAGCCAGAGTCAACAAGCTGTGTGTGGCTCACAGGACCCTGTCCTACCCCTCAGCAGGTCATAGGGCCCAGTCAACCTCAAGGTCCCACTCAAGGGCATGTGCCCTGAGGGGTAATGGAGGGCCAGGAGCAGAGCCCTTCCACCAAAGGGCTCCTGCCTGGAGCTGGGATTCTCACAGGACTGCACTACAAACTTAGCGCTGGGCACCCTCTGCGCCAGCCTAGCCCCTCACCACTAATCCCCATGTCATGCTTAGGAACCCCAGTACTAGAGCTCGGGCCAGGTAGGGGCTTGGGGCCAGCGCCACTGGCTGAAAGCCTTCAGTGCAACACTGAAACCATGCTGTGTACCCATCCCTAACCTAGGGACTCTGACCCCAAACACCTGCATGCTGCCTGACCTCCAAATCACCTGGCCATGGGCCACCAAGCAGAGCCACGCCTTCCCCAAGGAAGCGTAGCGGGCTTCTGTTCACCCAACATCCAGAGCCCTAACACAAGCCCAGATCCTGGCCCTGGCAGCAGCTCTTCCCCACCCACTGACCCAAGCGCACCTGAGGCTGGAGGGAGGACATAGCAGATGGGAGAGAAAAAAAGGAAAGCAGGTGGATGGAAAATGCAGAAGAAGAGGAAGACAGAGTCTGCATGCCATTAACCATTACTTTCCCAGTCTTCTTTACGCTCTTTTGTCATGGTGCTTATGGTAAAAGATGCAGAGCAATCTTTCCAGCTCTTACAGCTCTTCATAAGCAAGACGACTGAGAAAAGGGCAGTCATCAACAAGTCATCCGAAACGCTCTGGGTAGGAAGGGCTCTGTGACTCTGTCATCACCTCAATCACAGGAGATGCGGCAGCTGTTTACCCTTCCCCTGGTGATTGCAAGCCCATGTCTCAGTACACAAAGAATCACACTCTGATTTATGGCCTCTGCTTGCTCATTACCATACATGGTTGATTATATTCACCAAAGCACCGCAAAGGCCAGCGGGTTAGACGTCGGTAGTGTTTAAGGCCATTTGCTAACATTACCATTTGGGGCACAGAAGAGATCCTCATGAAAAACTCTTCCGTCTTCAACACAGAGTGTCCCTCTTGCACTGTTTACACCTGCACTCACACACATGTGTGGCCCCGCTGTGAGGCCTGAGCCCTGCCGGTGCTGTCTAGAAGCACAGTGGGCCAGGGATGTGGAGAGGACCCAAGGCAGCTGAGGAAAGTGGGGAAGACGAGGAGGGCCGCCAGGGACTCCTGAGCAGCTGTGGGGCTGGGAGCAGGGGAAATCAAGGCACAGCCTGGCTAGAGGCTTCCGAGACTGGATGAGCAGGCGGGTGACAGCCAGCCTCCAGGACCTGGCATTTACTGCTCAGGCTCAGCAATCACAGAGTTAATCTTCATTGTTGTATCTTAGAAAGTTAAGAGCTTGTTTTATTTATCTTTTTGGGGGGGTCAGGGCATGGAACCCAAGCTTCCTTCAGGCTACACATCCCTCAGTCTTTCCCCAAGGTCCCTCAGTAGAACCACAGCGAGGTGCATCCTCCGACCCTCAAAGCCAAAGGTCAGAAGGATATTTTCAAGGGTCACAGAGGTACAGGGAAGGGCTCTCGAAGGGACTGAGGAGAACTGACAGAACAAAAACCAAGCGCAGGGGACGCTTGGTGTACCACAGTGTGGTAAGCAGTGCTGTAGGCAGCAGGGCAGGGCATGTGCCCAGGTGCACCAGGCCCTGGGGTCACACCCAGCACCAGGCAGGAGAGAAAAAGTGGAGCACATGTCTGTGAGCACACAAAGTGGCCCACTGGCGTCAGCCCCTGACATGCCTCGCACCTCAAGAACAGCATGCAGTGAGTGGTCATGCTGGGGTGAACAGCCTGGAGGCCGTCGCTCTGTGGTTAGAACCCTGCGGCCTGTGGGCTCTGCCTGCAGCAAAAAGCCTTAAACAGCCGAGGCCATACCAGTGGGAACAAGCCTGGGCAGCACCCTCGGCAAGCTGTGAGCCCCAGCGGCCCATCACACTTCCAGGGCTGCAGAGCTGTTCCTCAGCACAGTGTCTCTGGCCGGTCCTCCGTGCTGTGGGACGTGTCACACTGCTGCAGTGTGTCCCAGACTAACAGTTCCACCCAGCAGGTCTCCGACACACCTTGTCCCTTGGCCAGGTTCCCACCCGCCAGGGTGCCTGACTCAGGGCGGAGACCCTGGGCAGGTTCTGCCTGGATCCCCAGGAGCTGCTCCTGCTGCTTGGCCCACAGGACCATGGAGACCTGGTCTCTTCTCCAGGGCAGAAAATTAAAGCGAAGCTGAGACCATCAGAGGCCACTCCAACAGGCCAACTGTATTCCTAACACTTTGCCAGCTTTCTGTTGTTGAGCAAATAAAATGAAATCTTCACAAGACACACAGAACAGTGCCAGCCTAAGCCATCTGGTAAACCTGTTTCCAGTCTGGGGCGCAGACACCTGGAAAGAGCAGAGTTACCAGCTCTTTGGGCTCTGGGGTCAGAACATCTCGGCTGAAAGCTGGCCTCCTCCCAGGTTCTGACTCTGAGTCCTTGCCGTGGGGCCTACAGGCAAATTGTCACCTGGCCCGGCAGCCACCACCTCCTCAACCCAGAGACTGGTGAGCAGTTTCACAGAGAATAAAATCGAAATCAAAATCTGATGCCAAAAGGCTTGGAGATTAAATATTTGTTATAATTTTGTGTATAACTAGATGTTTGTTTCAACTTTAACTGTAAGCATCTACTTACCTTGTACTATATTTTCACATCAGTGTAATGTAAAAATTTCAACTATTTATGTTTACACAATGACTAATAGGGTCCCATGTTGAGATGAAAAAATTGCAGAAAATGTGAAAACATATAGAACCATGGCTGTCTATGCACGGCATGACAATGGAACATAATCTGACTTTTTAACTAAAATAGAGTGCAAAAATGGTGTCACTTCCAAAATAGCAAATTAAAATAGTTCTGGAATAAAACATGGCCCCTTTGCACAGGTGTAGCACCAGCTGCTCCGAGGCTAAAAGAAACAACAGGCTGACCTCATCGAAAAACTGCTGAGTTTTTCGGAGAATGAATTTGAGCTCAGTCAGCTCCAGGAAGTTTCTCTTCAGGGCTTCTTGATTTGTGTTGATTTCCTTCAGCTCGTTTTCAATCTTCTCAAAATTGGCCTAGAGGAAAGGAAGTACTCAGAGCTCAGAGCTCAGGATGCTCACTGGAAAGACAGTGTGCACGCACCTGCTCAATGGCGGCCAGCCCACTGTCAGAATCACTACCCCCACCATCGATTCGGGGACTATGAGAGCAATTTTCCTCACGCAATTTTTGTGCTTCATAAGTCTTTGCCTATAGAGTCTATGTTACACTCTAAATCTCATCGGGATTTCAGATGGATAAAATATTACCAAAAATCCCAGGGCTGCACATTTGTAATTCTAGCAGTCTCAGAAGCTGAGGCAAGAGGATGGCAAGTTTAAACCCACTTCAGGCAATTTAACAACTTTGTCTCAAAATTTTAAAAAAATGTTTTTAAAGGGTTGACAATATTGCTCAGTGCAAAGGCTTGAGCTCAATCATTAAAAACATTAAAAAAGAAAAAGACTTTTGCTTGCAGAGGTCAGGAAAAAAAAAGAAAGAAAGAAAAAAGACCAAGAAAAGGCACAAATAAATATCAAGTATAAGAAAGACAAGCTGTGGTGCACACTTATAATCCCAGCTCTTTGGGAGGCTGAGGCAGGAGGACTGCAAGTTGGAGTCCAGCCTGGATAACTTAGTGACATTGAGATATTGCCTCAAAATATGAAAAAGAAACTGGGGATACAAATATCATGGGTTCAGTCTGCAATACTGTGAAAGGAGAAAAACAAACAAAGAAAGGGAAAGCCCAGAGACTACTCCCTCAGTCCATGAGGTCAGTGAGCTGCTGGACCGGCACAGTATTCTGCAAATGTGGGGTGCCTTTAATCCTGACCTCTAGAGACCTGCAGTTGAGACAGGGCTCCCCGATCCCAGGTTTAGTGCACTGGCTGTGAGCCTCACCCCCTCCCACTCCCCCCCCCACCTCCCCTGCTGGCATCTCAGTGAAGAGACGGGTTGCCCAGGCAGGCTTACTTCCAGATCGATCATGTCCCGGGGGAAAGGCACCTCTGGGTTCTCACCGGTGTCAACGATCGGGATGTTAGCCTTCCTTATCTCCTTCTCAACGAACCCTACAGTGACAGAAGCCACACATGCCTGAAATCACTATTATCTGGGGGACAGGAGGGAAGGCCCAAAACCCAGCTATGAAATTTCATTCAAGCTCGGCCTGGTGGCAGATGCCTGTACTCCCAGCACTCTAGGAGGCTGAGGCCTAAGGGTCCCAAGTTCAAGCCCAGCCTGAGCAAGCTGGCAACTAAATGAAACTATTCAAGGAAGAGACATGGCTGGGGTGAAGGCCCAGGGTGCAGTCTCTGGACTTCAGGAAAGAGAAAGGTCCAACCCCAGAGCAGAAGAGTGTTCTTAGAAAAGCAGCAGCCTTTTCGCCACAGCCTCACGGGGTCAAGTGAGCCTGTGGAGGGCGATCTACCACCATGCCTGCCTTCCCATTCTCCGCCAGGCTGGTGCCAGTGTGGGCTGCTAGGCATCGAGGATAAACCCCAGGGTGCCTGCCAAGGGCTCTTCCCCAGCCCCTTGGGGCAGTTTCAAGTGTAGAAAATAAAAATTATAGGCAGAGAATGGAATAAAGATGCTGAACACCAGGGAAACATCTCGGCTGACAACTGCTGGTTTCTTTCTTGCACAGCAAGGCCTAGTCCTCCTGCCAGCGAGCTAATTGGGACTCGCAGAACAGCTGGACTAGGCGTGGGGCTGGCCAGCTCTGCCTGGGAAGAGGAGTCCTTCACGGGCTCTCACAGGCCTCGGACAGTATTGAAATGCACTGGCTCCTAGAATTTCAGTTATTAAATGAGGAGCACCCATCTTGAAAGGATGTTTGGGAGCAAAAGGACTCAGCATTCATTCACTCCTACGTATTTCAGCCTCAGTGGGGCTTCCTTCCTCAAGCTCAAATGAAAAGGCGGCTGTAGCCAGGCAGAGTGCCACACACTGTAATCCTAGCACTTAGGAAGCTGAGGCAGGAGGATCACAAGCTCAAGTCCTCCTGCCTGGGCAGCTTGGTGAGAACCTGTCTCAAAATAAAAAATAGCTGGGGGCATAGTTCATTAGATTGACACCTACACCTGGCCCTGTGTAGGGTGACCCCTGGGGGGGTCTGTAACGTAGCTCTGCTGTCCCAGTGCCAGTGAGCAACACCACAGTGCCATCAGTGTGCAGCTGTGGTCAACAGGGCTCCACACAGCAGCGCCTCGTCCAGACACCAGGAAGCTGCCCGGGCCGGAGCTCGCCCTGAGCCACAGCTGCAGGGCTCTCCCTCCTCCTGCACCGGCCTATTCAGCTGCTTCCCATCTAAGACATGTGATGCCTCACAGAAGGAGCGTCACACAGAACCGCAGTGTACATACGGAGCTTCCGGTCCATTTCTTCGCATCTTCGGACTTCATTTACAAACTTTCGCTGGAAAACATTCACATCTGGATTTAGCTGAAAAATAAGACCACAGTACCAATCTTTGGATGCTGCATCTCTTCCCTGGTTCATACACACCACACTCTGCAGTGAAAACCTCCCTTTGCATCAATGCACAATGCAACACTGGTCAAAACTGCCCACCGGCTCGAACAAGAGCTCTGTGCCTGCCACCATCCAGGCCAGGACCCCCCTGCTACAGGGGCACGGCATCTAGGGAACCAGAAGTTGCACCTCCTAAAGCCTAGCACAGCTACTGCAAAAGCTATGTCTGCTGAGCCCAGGGGATAGAGGGTAAACCCTGCCCGTTCTCCGCCCCAGCCATGGGCGGCGGGGACCCGCTGCTTTGTTCCGTCACAACACAGGCCATTTTCCAAGGAAGGGCACAGACTTTTTGGGACACACAAAGCTGAGTTCCTGCTCGCTGGGAAACACAGGCTTTAGCAGCAAAGAAAGGCAGAGACGCAACCAGAAGACGGTGTGTCACAAACCCCTAAAAGTCACACAAAGAGTCACTGCTGCTCAGCACCAAGTGTGCACCAGACACTGCACGGGGCTGGGGAAATGCCAGTCAGAAGCATCCGCTTCACACACAGCACAACATGCTGAATGGGCCTGCATTTATGGACATGCGCATGTCTCACACACACACACACACACACACACACACACGTGCTGTATTATGTGACACAGTGGATCACGCTGGCTCATGGATTATACATGCACTATATGCACATACATGTGTACACATACACACATGTATTACAATCACAGCTACATGCATGTGCATGAGACATATTACAGAATAAACAACCTCATACACTTGTACATACTCAGATATGCGTGTACATATATACACACATACTCAGATACACATGTACATATATACACACATACTCAGATACGTGTGTACATATATACAAACATATTCAGATACACGTGTACATATATGCACACATACTCAGATACACGTGTACATATATACATTCCTGCATTCAATGGTTCTTTCCTCAGAACTCAATGTAACAACATTAGACAGATGGAATCCAAGGCAAAAAAACAGAATTAGTGAATAAGAGAACCACTAATAATAGATTACACTCTGGTCTTCAGCTCCATAGAAAAGACAGACACAAACCAGTAATTCCAATCTGTTGTGATGAGCCAGGCATGGTGGCACATGCCCATCATCCCAGCACTCGGGAGCTGAGGCAGGAAGATTGCTTCAAATTCCAGGCCAGCCTAGCCTCCATAGTGAGTTTAAGTCCAGCCTACACGACAAAGTGATACTCTGTCTCAAAACAACAACTAACAACCCCAGCCATTGGTGCAGCGGTGAACATCTGCAATCCCAGCACTCAAGAGGCTGAGGCAGGAGGATCCTTGCAAGTTCAAGCCCAGCCTGGACTACAAAGTGAACTCAAGGCCAGCCTGAACTACATAGCAAGACCCTGTCTCAAAAACAAACAAACAAAAATCTATGGTGATATATGCTGTTAAAAAGTCATCATGTTATAAAACAGGCAACAGTAAGCCTATGTGCTACACCGCTGTAACACTTTCTAATCATTAAAAATTGGTTCCTGAGATCTTCAGTAATTTTTTAGTAAGGAAAATCAATCCCCAGCACAAGAGGAAAAGGCGAGTAAGGACTGGAAGCCACCGGCAGCTTGGCGTGAACCTGAACACACATCTGCCCAGCACATGCCCACGTGCCCTCAGGCAGCTGCTCAGGAGGATGTGGGCCATGAGGGTGCTGGTGCAGGGGCGCCCCTCGCCTCACTCTCTGGGCCGCACACAGGAGCCCACCACACACTAGGCATGGGGGCCGTTGGGAAAACAGTGAGGGTAAGGCCAGCACAGCTGCACTGGGTATACAGCTCTGTCCACGAGGGGCGCCATCCATGTGGGTGCCTGTGCCCGGCCGGGGCATATGAATGAGCCAAGGCCATATGCAGGGATCAGGTGGTGTGCATGCCTGCCCCAAACGTGCCAGGCCCTGCTCCAGCCCGAGGGGCAGAAACAGACATACAACACAAGCACTAGAGCCCTATGACCCAGTGTCTCCTTCAGGTAGGGACCTGAGATCAGCAGCAAAGGTGACTGGCTTCCCACCATCAGCACTAAGCCGCAGTCTGTGGGTCTGTGGTGGTTGGTGAAGCAGGCTCGAGCTCCAGAAGCACAGCGCTAGCTGTCACCTGTTCTTGGGGACTGAGGAGCAGGAAGGCGGGCTGCTCTTCAGTCTGGCTGCAGGGGCAACAGCGGTGGCGGTGAAGCCAGAGCACTGGAGCTGCAGGTGGGTGAATCAGCGCCAGCCTGGGAAGCCACCACAGGGTCAGAGGAGAGGGGAAAGAAGGCAGGTGGCTGAGCCAGCGGGGTGGACCCTGGATGGTCTCCGGGAGCCAAGAGCAGGGGCTGTCCTAGGAGCGAAGTGAGGCAGAGGCAGGAGGACAAGGATGCAGGACACTTCCCCGGAGGACCCACGAGAGGAGGTGCTGCAGCCTGGCACTCCTGGTGCTCCAGTCTGGGTAAGGGCAGTGAGAAGCAAGGCGGGGGCGACACTGCAGTGGGCATGGGAATGACCAAGGGATGAGGGGCAGCCAGGCAGAGACCACCCCTTGGGGCCAGGCAGGGACGGGGAACCCAGAGGCGGAGAAGAGCAGGGAGGCTAAGGGTGAGGGAGACACATAGCCCCTCTGTCTCAAAAGGATGAGTCCCAAAGGTCCGAGATAGGCAGGGTGGCCCCCGAGGTGGGGACGTTGTGGGATAAACTGTCCTGGAGGAGGCTCCACATCTGCAGGAGGGGACAGGAGAGAGGGGTCTGGTGACAGTCTCAGGAAGGCTGCAGATAGAGATCACAGCTAACAGCCTGGAGAGCTAGTGGGGACTGTCCCCAGAGCCTCCAGGGAGGACTATCCAGGCGCGCTAGGAAGCATGGCCTGAGGTAGGGCATGCAAGGCTGGAGGGGAGGGACTGAGGAACCAGATGGGTGGGGGCAGAAGGGGGGAGGGACAGGATGGGAAGGGGAGGAATAGGAGGGGGAGGAGGGGGAGGATAGGCAGCTGAGCGCCCCAGCCGGGAGGGCAGCAGGCACTGCTAGTTGGAAGAGCAGCTGGAGGGTGCTGTCAGATCAGCCGTGCTAGAGCCAGAGCCGTGGCTGAGGGAGAAGGAAATGGCCCTGCACAGGCAGTGAGATGGGCTCACCCTCATCAGAAGTAACCCTGGGATGACTGGGCGTGCTGGCACATTCCTGCCATCTCATCACTCGGGAGGCTGAGGCAGGAGGAGCACTGTGAGTTTGAAACCAGCCTGGACTACAAAGTGAGTTCAAGGCCAGCCTGAGCTGCACAGCGAGACCCTCTTTAAAAGATAAAAAGTTACACTGGGCTCTTGTGTGGCACACTGGGGTGCAGGAGGAACTGGGCCCACTGGACTGGACGGGGCTGAGGAGAGCAGGCAGGAAGATAGCCGCAGGATGGCTGGATTAAGCGGGGTTTCTGGCATCAGCTTTCTGAGGGCTCTCCATATCGGTTTCCATAGTGATTACACCAGTTTACATTCCCACCTATGCCTTCTCCCCAGGAGCCCGAAAGCATGGGCTACTATCTGATCATTGGTGACCATTCTTCCTGGAATGAGATGGAATCTCAGTGTTATTTATGCTCTTCTCTAATGGCCATTGATGCTGAACAGTTTTTTCATGGAAGTATTGGCTATCCACACTTCTGAGAAGATGTTCATTTCGGTTGCCTGTTTTGTTTGGTTTTGTGACATGATCTCACAATGTTTTCCAGGCTGGCCTCAGCAACCCTCCTGCCTCAGCCTCCTGAGTGTTGTGATTACAAGTGTGCACCACCACACCTGACTACCAGTCACTCATTTTTTTGACTGGATCTTTTGGGGAGGCTGCTGTTTTTTAGCACTTTGTGTATTCTAGATATCAGTCTTCTGTGCAGGAGAAGCTGCCCAGCTCCCCCCTACCCCACTCTGTAGGTTTCTTTTGCTGTGCAGAAACCTTCCGCTTCGCTATGATCCCGTGCTGATTCTTGGGTGTCCTGTCCAGTGGGAGCTCTGTTCACAGCAATGTCCTGCATGAGTCCAGATGAAGACCTGAACCTATGGCAATGCCTCCCATGAGTCCAACTGGAGTTCTAGAGCCCATGACAAGCATTCACCCCAGTCTGTTTTACGGATCTGGGCCTTTTACGGAAGGCCCAAAGGTCAGCAGTGGAAGCTAGGAAGTCTATGCCAGCAGGGTGAAGAAGCCGTGCTGGTAGGTTGAGGGGTCTACACTGGGGTCTACACTGGAGTCACACTCAAAATAAGGACCAAGTTGTCCTGAAAAGCACCACAGCCATCCTTAGAGGCCTGAGCTCCTCTGATCATAAGAACAGTGGAGAACATGCCAGAAAGCCAGCATGACAAGCTTCTCCTGGAGATTAAACAGCACACATCTTCCCCTCCTGGAAGCCATGCTCCATGTAAGGCCCAGTGCTCCCCCACAGTGAACCACAGCCAGTCTCACCAACAAGGTCCCCAGCTCCTCCAGTGACAATGGTCAAACTCACACTGGGGAAGCCAGCATGATGAGCTCCTCCAGGAGAACCAGCGGCTCAAATAGCAACACTTAGGAAAACCCACAAACACACTGCTCTTCTTCTCCATGTTTATGCTGACAACTTTCCTCAACTGGGCCATCTACATGCAGAACCATGCTGATTTAATCCAGCTGCTGTTAAGTTGACCACCAGTTTTTAATCTACAACAGAGTTCTCTCAATTCCTAGGTATTTTTCTTGAAGCTTCTGGCATGGTATTACTCTCCTAAATTTCTCTCTCGAAGAATGTATACAGGAATGCTACAGATTTCTGTGTGCTGAGTTTCTGTCCTTCTACATTACTGAACTTGGTTAATTCTAGAAGTCTTCTGGCAGAATTCTTTGGCTCTTCTATGTAAAGAACCATGTCATCTGTAAATAACAGTAACTTGCTCTTTCCTAAATGTACTGTCTGTCT